CTCTAGCCCCGGTCCAGACCCTGCCCTTGGGCCAGACTGGCCAGGTCAGTCTCCCCAACCTCCAGACTGTCACAGTTAACTCTGTAACACAAACTGGAGTCCAGTACACACAGGGAGATGACGCCAGGAGTCCAGCTGGTATGATGACCTTCACCTTCCTCACTGCAGGACGTCACTGTCAGAGACCGTAACCTGTCTGCTGTCTGCCTGCGTTCTTCCTGGTTCAGGGATTCAGATAAAAGAAGAGCCGGACTCTGAGGAGTGGCAGCTCAGCGGGGACTCCACGCTGAACCCCAGTGACCTAAACAACCTGCGGGTTCCTATGGGAGACGAGGACATGGACACTGCGGGCGGGGACGGCAAACGGCTCCGCCGGGTGGCCTGCACCTGCCCCAACTGCAAGGAGTCAGGAGGAAGGTGGGCATCCAACTCATCTTTCGTCTGTCCCTCCACAGTCATGTCCTTCTTTTTCTCTTTTGTGTCTAACATTTCTACCTTCTGTCCTTCCTTCCTCCCTCATGTTCTTCTTGATTCTCATTTCTTTCTTGTGCCTTACTTTTTAACTTAGTCTTGTTTCCTTTAAGTCAATCTTTTCTCAGTTGATCTCTTGTATCTTTCTTTTCCCTTTTGTCTTTCATCCCTTATTTTGTACCCTACTCCCTTTCAATGTCCTTCCTTCTGCCTTTTTGTCTTCTACCTGACTTTCCTTGTCCTCTCACCATTTCTTTTGTTTTTTGTATTTTTTGCATTCTGTCTTTTCTCCCTTGTCTTTCTTTTTTGTGTCCTGCCTATCTCCCTTCCTTGTCTTTTTTAGATTTAGCCATCATGCATTTCCACCATTCTTTTATCTCGTCATTTTTATAGATTTGTCTTTTAGAACAAATAGAAAAGACGGAGGACTCTGGAAAGTTTCGCCTGGGCTCTTTAGATGAAAACTCAGGATCGTCCCTCTCCTCTCGGACCCTTTTTACTGACTCAGTTTCTCCCCCTCTCTGCCTCTCAGGGGCTCCGGCGTGGGAAAGAAGAAGCAGCACATCTGCCACATCGCCGGCTGCGGGAAGGTCTACGGGAAAACGTCTCACCTGAGAGCTCACCTGCGCTGGCACAGCGGCGAGAGGCCCTTCGTTTGCAACTGGATGTACTGCGGGAAGAGGTTCACCAGGAGCGACGAGCTTCAGAGACACAGGAGGACACACACAGGCGAGTCCCTACAGCGCCCTCTGCTGGTTCCCCCAGGTGTTAGACTGCTGGGGTTAGGAGAGACCGGTCTCTGCTTGTCTAGATGTCTGTGGTGCATTCATGGACCTTATCTGCACTGCAGGAGGTTTCATAAATGGAGGTGTCATACAGTGTGAGTGAGAGGTTTATATATGATTTATTAATCATATTTTGAGCGCTGTGGTTTTGAACGGTAACAAAAAGTAAAAGATGCCATACAATTCCAACATACAATACTGAATTAGAGGTTTTTTTAAAACGAGGAGGAACGTCTCTAAAATGAATGTGATGATGATATAAGCAGAACATATCAACAATGTATGAACTGTAGAGAATTGTTATTGCAGAAATTCTGCAGCAGGAATTGTATTTTCTTCTCTCTAGATATAATCCTAGAGAGATTATTGCCCTCTAGTGGTAGTAACAGCACATTACACTGTTCAAGACAAGCAAGTTTACTGAATAAGATCAAATAAGTTGTTTAACCATATAAAGAAAGATTTGTACGTGAGAAAATTTAGCATTTAGACCTTGTTGCAGTTTTTTATGTAAGCATGCTGCTGTTTAATGAGTTTAATTAATGTATAAAGGATATTAAAATAAGGAGAACCTTTACTTGCATATAAACAGATTTACTTTAATAAGTAGGTATAGGTCAGTGTATGTGTATTTATCTTTCAAACTTGAGTGAATATGCTGCAGTTTCACAGTATTAATTAAAAAAGATGAACTGGACATATTGCATAATTTAGTTGTTTAGAAAGTGATCGATTCTACTACAAACTTTACTGGTTTAATATTAACTATGACATTTATGTTTTAATTCTGCTATTCGGTCTAAGCGCTTGCTGAGTTTAGCAGCAGTTGGTTGTTTTGTAGAGTTAGTTTTTATTGCAAATCTAGGCTGCAAAAAAAATCATCTGATGACGAGCTTTGTAAATGAGTCTGGCTGTCATCGCTACTTTAATCAAATTAGGGCTTTTTCTGAGTCTTTGCACCGTGACTAATTGTGCTTTTAGGAAGTTTTGAGCTATTTTTAAGAAGTGTAGCGACTCTTGTTCAGCCAGATTGTCTGGGAGTCCAACACTGCCGGCTGCTTCAGGCTGAGCTGGAAATGCTCGATTTTCTTTTGTTGTTGACCTTGTTTGTTGCATTCGGCCGTTTCTCTGGGGGAAGCTTGACGAGTGCAACAAGGGGAAACAGTCCAGAGATGGAGATGGTTTTGGTCATAGACTTGTTTTGAAAATTAGACATTGTGTACAGCTTTTCGCCTCTCGGGGTTTTCTGATAGGGTTTTTTTTTTTCCTCAAATATTTGGCAGCAGTTGGTTTAAATGTTATTGATCGGAGGCCAAGAGGAGAAGGAGTAAACTTGCTTTGTTGCTGTTGAGCTTTGACCTGCAGTTTCTGAAGTCTCTGTGGAAACTTCATGACTCTGAATCTACTCAGTTTCATTTTATTTTTTCGTCGTTTGCCAATTTTCCTCCCTTAACTACGTAAACATTAAAATATTTGAGCTATCACTGCTATTTCTTTCATTTCTGGTGCACTAGAAGTATTCATGAATTTGATTTAAAAATAGAAAAATATGAAAAATGTCTCCATCTAGTGGGGAAACAACAAAATATGATTTTCTGTAAGGATTTTAACACCAGTCTACCTAAAAAAAATTATATAACAAAATTAAACCCCAAGAGGGTTAAGTTTTTTTATTTTCATTTCTTCCTCCCCAAGACTAACGTGAACAAATGGTGTTTGTGTGTGTCGGACCTGCAGGAGAGAAGAAGTTTGTGTGCTCCGAATGCTCCAAGAGGTTCATGCGCAGCGACCACCTGGCCAAGCACATAAAGACTCATCAGAACAAAAAGGGCGGCGTGCCCACCTCCACCTCGCCACCCACCACCGACGCCGTCATCACCACGGACGGAACCACACTCATCCTCCAGACCGCCACCGCCCACGACCTTGTAGCCAATCAGGAGATCCCTCTGCAGCTGGTCACCGTGGCGCCCGGTGAGGTCCTGGAGTGAGGGAGGGGCTTCTCTGACGACTGGCCAATCACAGGGACCTCTTGAGCTTTTTCCTCTTCCCCTCTTCTTATTCATTTTTTTTTTTAGACATATGAATATATACGTAAATATATATGACAAATATATATATTTTAAGTGAAATTTATCTTGACTTTATGTTTGTTTTTTGCAGTCTTTTTTATAGGGGGGCAAAAAAGAAAACATTAAAATGTGGTTGCTATGTATACACACACACACACACACACACACGACATGAATTAACACTCAAGAACACAACGTGAAATGCCTTACTTTGTATGATACTCTTGTATAAAATGCTGGAAGTGCATGTTTTTTAAGCAATGGAGATGATGTGACTGTAACGGACTTTAATGTTGGAGGAGGAAGGAGAAGGAAGTCCAGAACCTCTCTCTCCCTCTCCCTCCGTCTCTCTGGGATGATCAAGGAATTTTTGTTTCTTCTTCTTGCGGCAGGAGGGTTTCGGCGCTCCGTTTGAAGCCCAGGTATAAACTGTCGAGCTGCTGCTGTCTGGACCGGACAGCTGCTTTTAAAGGAACGGTTCGACATCAACACTGGAAAACGAGCGTCGGAGCTTTAAACGTCGCCCTCCTCCCACTTCAGTTCGCGGTTTCCAGTGTTCATGTCGAACATTTTTTTGACCTCTCACACTTGGCCCACGTGAAACATAAGTTGGCTTTTACACGTTTCTTTTTTTTTTTTTTTAATTATTATTTGCACGCGACAGTTGTCTCCCAACAGCAGCGACGCTGAAAACGGAGCGCAGGTCGCAGGCGACGGTCGGGACGATCCGGAACAGAGAGAGAGCAGCTTTTCCCAGCGTCTGGTCAGCTTGAGCTTGTCCTCCGGAGCGCGCCGCCGTCCTCTGTGCTTTTCCACATATTACAGAAAAGAAACGCCTCTCAATTCTTGTTTGTTTTTTTTTTCTTTTTGTTTCTGTTGTTGTAAATTGATCTTGTATTGCAGTCTCTTTACTAATCCGGGTGTTTTCTAAAGCAGAGCCCTCATGACGACGATCATAGCTCGTGAAGGAGAAATGTTGCCATGTGAGGAAAGCGGTTGGGGGGGGCAATAAGCAGCAGGTTTGTCATCTGGTGTTTCGGTTTCGGCATCATGTGGAACGACTTTTCGCAATAACTGCTCCGACGCTAACTCTGGCCAGATGTCGTTCGAAAAGGAAAGAAAACAAAAACAACAACAACAAAAAAACAATCACGCCATTTGACTTTTATTTTTTTATTTAATGTAATCCTTTCTTCAGTTTGTCATGTTTGTAGCATTCATTTTCCATGTATATTATCTTATTTTCACCTTGTTTATAGAAGCCATTACTTTAGTTAGCCGAGTTTGTTGTATCAAAACCTTATTTTAAGTAATTTTTTAAAAAGAATTGATGTAAAAATTGAATGTTACCTTTTGTAAAACCTTTTTTCAAATGGATCACAATAAAAGTCTGAAAGCTTCCAGTTTTCGGGGGATTTGTGTGCAAAAATGAAAATTCATCCTGAATTAAACGTGACCTGAACAGAAAGGAAACACTTGGACCGTTGCAGAGAAATGCATGATTTCCTTCAACCAGATGCTGCCACCATGCAGATAAATCGTATCCAAACTAATGTCAAAAGTTTCAGAGTCCAGATGGCGAACCACCTAATTGTAGAAATATCTGCTATAACATTAATCAAATGTTGCATTTCTACCTAAACTGGCAAAAAATCAGATTTTCACGCGGAAAGAAAAGGCAGGAACTCATTTAATCCAGTCTCAACATGAGGAATGACATTTTTGACTATTTTTATACATAATTTCCCTTCATGACACCAACCATTATCCCCAAGCCTCCCCTGTACCTTGTTACTAAAAACCGTCTGTCATCCCCGACTCAGAGGACGAATATCAAGTTTTGTTCCTGTTCCACCAGTGAGACCTGAAATCAGTGCAAACATCCAATACAGAAAACAAAGTACATTCCTGCCATGTGTGTGTGTGTGTTTACCCCACATATACATAACCCCCCGCCCCCAAGAAATCTGTATGAACCAGTTTGTTTGTGGTCGGTTCCGTCAGCAGGAAGCTCTCCGCCGGGCCCATTTTTACAGTCCAGATCTCTGCGGATCTTCACAGCTCTATGTGAGGATCTGACCAGAGGAGAGAAGCAGAGGGTCATCAGAACGGAGCCGGTCCACCGTTCGGATGCCGATGTCATCGGCCGAGGAGGTTCTGTACCTGTGACCCGCTGCTGACCCGTCGAGCGGCTCGGCCCGTCCCGCGCTCTGGACGTCTGGAGACGTTTGATCTCCTGGTCGTAGTCCGACCACTCGGCTACGATCCTCACCGCCGCCTGCAGCTTGGGCTCCTTCGTCATTGGATTGTTGCACTGTTTGGGGAAAAACCAGAACCCAATTGTAGACAAGCAGGAAGTCAAACGTTCCTTAAAATAGTTACGTCTTCTGGAAGTTAGTAAAATATAATTCAAAAGACGGGTTTACTGGGTTTAGCCTCCATTACGGCAAAATTAAAATATATTGTGTCCAACCACAATCATAACTAAGTATATTATTTTTATGCTCCATTTAGCTTTTCTGACATTATTTCACATTTACAAAAGTACCACAGCCACTATTACGGGGATCATATCAGCATTTTGTTTAGTGTGATTGGAATATTATTACATATGTTAATAACTTATCATTAATGACTTTGACCAATCATGTAGCATTCATTTGCATACCTATTATTATTATTATTATTATGGGTCTTATGACTTATAGCAGCTGCCTTTTTCCATTGGTGTACATTTAAATAATAGTACTGTTAGAAAAATTACTTTTTTCCAACATTTATGTCACCATCATTAATGTGTCAACATGTATTGGCAATGTGATATAATTTGCATAATTATTTACAGACAACTAAGAGCAACAATAGTTATTCCACGGGTAAATTTAGTTTGAAAGCAACCTTTTAGTTAAACATATTTCTTCTGACAGGAGCTAGTAACAGGAAAAGATGGAGAAAATGTGAAGATTAGGGTTTGATTGCTGGAACACTAAACTATTTCTATATTGGTCAAGAATCATCTTATTTTTAAAATGTAAATAAAAAAAATGTCCAACTCTGTTATCTTTTATGAGACGCTCGTCTCATACCGTTAACAAAATTTATGGTTGAATAAAAATAATTGAAATCTTCCTGAAATATGAACAATGTGGGGCTTTTTAATTACATGATTATGATTTTCACTATTTTAGTGCAGGCTTATATAAGATTTGCTACTGAGTAAGACAAAACAAAAAAACTCTGAAACAAGTGTTTACACTGAGCACCTAATGCAATAAATAAAATATCCCAACAAAACGTTTTATTGTTTTAATGTCCATCACTAAATTAATGAGGAGTTATGTACTTTAGGGCTTTTTTTCCCCTTTTTTACAAGTTTTTGTTTTCTTCAATTTAATTTCTAAAAATAGAAATAACATTGTGGTTCTTAAAAAATAAATCTCCAATAGTAGACATTTCTAAAAAAAAATTTATTTTCTTCTTTTTTTATTTATCTAAAGCTCATGTAACATTAGTGGCCCTAAACGAGTTTTATTTAGCCGGACCGAGGACAAAAAAATAGATTGCGGATTCCTCAACCATTAGCGCCCTCTTGTGGCTTCTATTAGACGCAAACATCGTTACCAGATCTATGGTCTTCGCTGTCCTTTTGGAGCTGTCGTCACACCAGGTCTCACACCACAGCCACTCCTGAGGCAGAGACTTGATGGGAACCTGGTGGATCATGTTGTTGGGAAGATCCTGGAAAACACAGAAACCTGTTGAAAAGCGGCACGAAAGCAGGAAGACATGGAGCAACAGTTAAAACACCATGATGAGGTGCGTCAAAGCTTCTGGCTACAGGAAATGGCTTTAATCATCAGCAGTGACAAAAGAACAAAAAAAGTTACAATATTACAAGAATAAAGTCATAATATTATGAGAATAAAGCTGAAATAGTATTTTGAGAGTAAAGTTATTGTAGTTTGACTTTATTCTTGTACAACTTTCTTCTCTTTATCGTATTTATTTTTATTTTCCACTACTAATACTCCATGCCTAACCAGAGTTAGACTGAAACAACACCTCTGACGCTTTGAAATGCAGCCGCATTTGAATGGGTCATTAATTTTCCTCTCAAATGCCAAATGACAGCAGTATTGTATAAAAGTGAAACGCTACAGTCAGTAGACATGAAGAGGCGAGACCTGGTCCAGGTTGGACAGGCTGTTGGGGTCTTGGCTGAGTCCCTGGTACTGTCCTCTCAGGCGGTCTCCCGCAGCGATCTTCCTGAACTTCTTCAAGTCGACGACGTAGAGGGCGCTGTGGAGCACACGGCACTTTAACAAGGATACGTGCAAGAAAGCCAGAGCATCCGAGAGAACAGTCGCTTACAAAAATATTCACACAGTAGACTTTTTTTTTCTACATTTCTAATTAAGACCAAAAACATTCCAGGAGTTTTTTTTTAGCAAGGCGTTTTATAAACGAGTCTGTGGGCGATCGGTGAGCTGAAGCAGCACCTGATGTGGTACTTGCGCCCGGCCAGGTGGCTCGCCCAGTAGCCGGACTTCCAGAAGCGGTAGCCGTCCATCTCCCTGCGGCTTTCGCAGAACGGCGTGTAGCCGTACGGAGCGCCCTCCAGGTCAAAGTCCCGCAGCTCCTTCAGGTCTGTTCGCACGATCTGACAGGAAGCAGGTCAGGGTTATGGAGTGGCCTCGACATTGACTACAAGTCCAGGTTATGACATAAGTATAAACAAAAATAATGTACTCTAAAGCTCTGAGGTTTTGTTTTGGGGTTTGTTTGTTTTTTGCTGTTGTTTTTTAAGGCTTTTGTTGGCTCCAGTGGCCTTTATTTGAAAGTAATTCGACAGGAAAACGGGGTAATGAGAGAGTTGGAAGACATGCAGCAAATGTCGCCAGGCCCAGAATTGAACCTGCGACCGCCACCATAACGACTGGAGCCTCAGTGCGTGGGTCACCACAGCATCCCAGAGGTTTTGTGTTTTAATAAAAGCTAATACTGCGATGAAAACATGCATCGTTTCTTCTTGTAGTTTGTAGAGAACGAACCTGGTCTGCGTCCACAAACAGGATCTTATCCACAGCGAGAGGAAACAGAACATCCAGGAAGAGGATCTTATAGCCCCAGATGATCCTCTGCTTCTCCGTCTGCTGGTGCAACCAGCGCGGCCACTTGTACTGGACCAGCTCATACTGGAAACCATACTGCTTCGCCATGTGGGGGATGAACTCCTGCAGAGGGAAAGATAAGAAATAAACTGCTGACTGCATGAAACGACAGGGTTAAAGCCATTGTTCAGGCCAACGGCTAGCGGCCATTTGTTTAATTTTAAAACAGAAATTAAAAAAGTTCACCGGGAATTTATGTCAGACGTTTCAGCCAAAGCAAGAAAGAAAGGATGAAAGACAGACGAAAGTAGAAAACAAAATAAAAAATGAAGGACAGAGGCAGGAGGTGACAACACAGGATGAACAAGGGAGGTAAAAAGGAAGGACGCCAAGACAGAATGAAGGAAGGACAGAAGAGAGAAAAGGAGGAAGGGCACAGAGTTAGCGAAGGACACGAAGGAGGAAGGAGAAAAGAAAAAAGAAATGTCAAAATAGGAAAAACAAAGAAGTAAGACGTTAGGATGGAAGGAGAGAGAAGGTGGGGAAAAAAAAGGAAGCAGACTAGGAAAAAAGAAGGAAAGACAAAAAAAAGACACTGATGGTGAATAAATTTAGATTTTTGACATCTTTTGATTTTCGTTCAACAAACTCATGTCTGCCAGGGATGAGAAAGGAAAAATAACTTTTCCAGACTTTTGAAAACTATGAAGGAGTTATCGATGCTGATAACAGAGAGACCAGACTCAGAAAACAACAGGAGTCTCTAAATATTTCACTCCTGCTCGAGTTTGAAACCAAGTGCAGCTGAAACAGAAAGCGTCCAGAACAAATCCCAGCTTGTCGGAGGGAGGAGAAGTCCTACCTTGAAAGTCGGGGACAGATAGTTCTTCAGGAACCAGAACTTGACGGGGGTTTTGGTGTTCTTTAGGACTGACAGCATCATGATCCTGGGAGAGAAGAAGAGGAGAACGGTGAAGAGGACGGCGCCAAAACCAAAAAAAAAAGAAAAAAGAAAAGAAGAACCGGGATCAACGCTGACTTTGTGTGCAGAGGAATTTAAAAAGTGTCGACTTTGATGGGATTTTTAGGAGTATTTAATCCCCACCTGAGGAACCTCTCGTACAGATGCCCTGAAGCCACAGAAAAAATGTTGATCACGTCGTCTTTCTCCTGCTTCGGCTCTTCAGCTTTCCCTCCGCCTGTGAAGCCTCTGCAAACACAAAACAAACCAGCTGGGTTCACTCCACTATAACGAGAACACAAAGAAAAATACTGATGAAACGTGTTAAATTTAAAAGCACCTGGATGGTTTATTTTCTGTTCCAGCTCCATTTACATTAAATGTGTAAAAAAAAAAAATGAAATGAACGCATAAACCCGTGTTGTACCTGGCCAGAGATTTCCAGAAGCCGGAGTCGTTTTCCTCCGTTCCATCACTCAGCAGCTCCTCGTTAAATTTGTCCGGCTTCTTCTGAACCTGAACAGCAAGAAAAGAACAAAAAAATAAACATTTCAACGTTCAGAAGGCATTCGTGGACGTAATTTAAGAGAAACAAGTAAGAAACACTCAAATGTTTTATAGAATATAAAACTAATTAGAACTAAGACAAAAATGCATTATTTCCATTAAGACATCACCAAACGTTAATGAACTCGACGGAGATCTGCTTATAACAGGTCAATAAATGTTGAAACCTAAACGGAGAGGCGGACAAAAAAATCCTGTTTGTTGAAGTATGAAGTGCGAAGTAAAGGTCAAACAGGGTCAAAACTCAGAACCATAATTTATAAAACAGTTTTATGGGAAAATCAGACTGCTTGTTTTAAATTTAAATATTTTGTATTTAGTTTATGACAGGTAAAAAAAATGTTTTTGTGAGTTTTTAATTCAAATAAAACACAAAATTTAAAACTTAAAAGGTGATGTTGGCTGATCTTCGAACACCTTTGACTTAAACTATAATAAAAATGTAAAATAGTCCCAACTGGACTGAAGCAGATCTTGAAAACGCTCCTTTTCATTTTGTCATGTTCAGTCTCCTCAGGTCTTTCCTCTAAATCCACATCTATTTCTTAAAGATAATTGTTTAATTGACATTTATCGTTTCTGACTACAAGCCCAAATGCAATTATTACAATTTTCTCTTTTATATTGTGAGAAATGTGCAAAGAGAGCGAATTTGGGCTTCCAACTGCCAAACATGATGAAGTCGACTGATGAAATAAGCTCATCATCATCCAGTCACATAAGAACATCAGAGTCAGAAGTGAAGGCTTCGGACGCTGAGGCCCAAACTGGGCCGCTTCCTGGAAACACTCCACTGTAATACGAAGCCAAATAAAGTCTTAAACTGGCTCAGATTGGGTGTCAGAATTAAGACTGATTATTATCGTATTTTGACATATTTAAGGTGATGAATTTTAGGGTGCGAAGCTTTTCTGGCTCTTAGCGTTCTGGAGGTATTAAGGCAGGAACGTCTCGTCTCTCTCTAGAGAGAGAAGCTTAGCGGTGGAAAGTGTTAAACGGAGGAATCAAACCCACTCGACAGATAATAAACTCAGGCTTTTCTCCTTATAGTAAAAACACAAAGGGCGTAAAGGCTGCTCTACGTTCACTCAGAAGGACGATAGTGAACCAAGTCAAACTATTTACTGAATGTCAGCGCAGAGACCATAATTATGTTCGGATAAGTAAAACCTTTGAATTTAACGCTTTTTGTGACGATTGGTGCCACGCGTCAGAGATGAACTGACCTTCACTTTAATGATTCGACTCTTGAAATTGTTCAGCACCACGATAATGTCATCCGAGTCCGACGGGGAATCTGTGCCGTCGTGGCTGCGGACGGAAAGCATCAAACTTATGAGCACGAGACGGCTGAATTAAAACATGGACGCCTTTCAGCGCCGGGGGAGGAGAAGGAAAACACGTGATCAGCCAAACCTGTAAACCTTGTAGATTTCATCTGAGCGTCCTTTCCTCAGCTTCAGCATCCAGGCGCCGGGGTTGGCTTTGAGCTGGAAGTAGCCCTGGAAACCAGATCAAAAACACATCTTAGTAAAATATTACGGCATATCTGGACATTCCTGACTGAACTTTCTAGGATTCTTAGTCATCTTTGTTTATTTCAACAATTATTACAGATATTTCTAAAGAAAGAAAAAGGAATTGAGGAAGTACAGGAGGAAGCAAAGATACGAGGAAGAATTAAGGTAAGGACACAAGGAAGGAAGGACAGAAGAAAGAACATAGGGAAAAGGAAGGAAGAAATGAAGAAAGGAACGAGAAAAGGAAGACAGAAAGTAAGGAAGGAGGAAATGAAGGAAGAACATAAGACAGAAGGAAGAAAGAAAGGAGGAAACAGCAAAAGACACAAGGAAGGAGATAAAGTACAAAGTACAAAGAAGAAGTAAGAAAGGAAGAACTGAAGGAAAGATGGAAAAACATAAGAAAAAAAGGACAAAGGAAAAATTGAAGGAAGGATGGAAAAAAGAAAAGAATACAAAAATGGAAAGCAGAAGAAAAGACATAAACAAGAAAGTGTAGAGAGACGGACGCCATATTTACACAATGTCAGTGCAAATAAAGCCAGAAAATACAAATATTTTTCCATAATTCATACTTTATTTTCTATTATCCAACCAGGAAAACGCTGAAGTCAAACTCCAGACTTCTCCTGAACACGCTGAGGATGCTCTTACCAAGTTTGCCATGACGATGGTATCCACGATGACGGGCTCGGCGGCGGTCCCCAGAGTGAACTGAAGGCCTCGCGGCGGCTGACCCGAGCTGACGTCGAAACAGTGGCCCTCCAGCAGCAGGTGCTCCAGCTCGTACTCGGCCGCCACGATGTTCTCCACCTGCAGCCACAGGGGTGCAGCCAAGCTCAGTTTACCCTGTCCAGCGCGCCCTGGCAACATGCATTAGTAATGACTCCAAAGCTGACTGACGATGTTTATTTTATGGAGAGGAGGACTGTTCTTCAAACTCTGGAGCATAAAAGCAGAAACTTTAAGAAAAGGGGAGGTCACGACCTCTTTGGAGAGCAGAGAGCTGTCAGTGGAAAACTTAAGATTTGCCTCAGCTTCATCAAAAAGTTTACCACAGAGTTTCTCGGGTTTGTTTGTAACTTCATCTCAAGTCAGAGTAAAAATGTCTGTTTTAAATTGTGAAAATAATTAAAAAAAAAACGAAAACAACGACCCTACAGTTCCAGGGGTAAACAGAGGAAACTTTGAGTTAAAGCTACATTTTCCAGCTGAAACCGTCATCACCTCCTCCAGGTAGATGTTGTCGAGGTCGTAGCGGGTGCGCACAGACTCCACCATCCAGCTCTCGGGGGTGTTGAGGTTCAGGGTGAAGAGCGGAGACTGAGGCATGTCCAGGAACTTGGCCATGGGTCCCCGGGAGAACGACGCATCGGGCTGGAAGGCCACCTCCGGCTCCAACACGTAGCGGTAAAAACTGCAGACAACGCACTCTATCTCAACAAATGCCATGTAATTGTGATTTTATGTGAAAGGCAAACACAAAGCAGTTCAAAATTGTACAAAAAGTAAAGAAAGCATGTGTTTCTTTGATTGAATGAAAAAACCTTTTATCTAAACCTAAATCTTTTACAGACGTCTGAGCCAAATGTTGGACAAATGCAGCACTTATTGATATCCGATTCAAACGTAAAAACATAAAAAGAGATCTGCGTTTTACCTTTTTAGAGGCATATCTGACAGCTTCGACTGGCAGTTCATGAAAACCCTCAGGTTGACGTTTACGAGCTGCTTCAAAACCTTCAGAGTGAAACACGGAGACATGATAGAGGACAAACAGGTCGGCGGCAGGACAGAGGCTCATCCAGTCCAATAACAGAGTCCAAACCTACTGATAAAAGAGGAGCCAGTTTCTGTGCGTCTCTCGTTACTGGATCCGCCACGGCAACGACATCAAAGTACACGTCTCCCTCCTGCGGACGGATCTTTACGGCGCTGCAGACAAATACGAGACCGGTGATCGAGTGAAGTGAACAAAAAGATTCTGCCGTTTTCTTCAGAGAACAAATGGATTTCACTGAATCTATCCCTTTAAAACAAGCTAAGCGACCCCCATCAAAAGCAAAACCTTCAGAGGTGACAAGTGATGTTGAGCGCTCCAGACGTACCTGTAGCGATCGTCTGAAAAGCCGTACTCTATCCTGGATTCCCCTTTGGGCTGAGAAGACAGCAGAGCATCCACTTTCATCACAAGGTCGCTGGCCCTGAGAGAGACGCAGCGTCACCTCAGACAGAAAGTTCATCTGTGGAAGTTCTTATGGAGCCTGAAAACCTTTGGGAAATAAAACAAAATACCTGTCCTCCTCCATCTCAAACTGCTGGACTTTGCTTTTGACGCGCTCCCCTGATGTTTTCAGGATGATGTTCTCCAGAAGCAAGAAGTCGTCCTGATTGAACACCTCGTTCTCCTCCAGCGGCCCGATGATCTGAGGAGAAGGAACAAGAACGACAAACGGCATGGAAGAAAGGATCTGCAGCTGTTACTAACTTTACGCTGCTTTCGTTTTAGCACAGGCGTAAAGCTCGGTCAACCAGGAGAAACGACGGCTGTACCCGTCCGTTGCTGATGACCGCCCTCTGTCCTTTCTTCAGTTTGAGCACGTCTCGGCAGTAGGCAGCGTGGGAAAGCAGGAAGTCAAATTTGGGACCCTCATAAGCGCTTTTGAACAACGACAAATCCATTCCCTGAAGGAGGAAAAATGATCAAATGAGAAACTGACACCCCAAAAGTTTTTTTGTCAGTAATTCAGATGTAACCACAGAAACTCAACAACTCACCCCGACAGCAAACTCTCCGACGTCCACGCCTTTCTCCAGGGCCTCTGCTGTTTCCTCTTTGGACATCTTGGTGATGAAGTTCTTGGCATTATTGGCCGACTGCGTCTGCATGGCAGACCAGATCGCTCTGGCAACGCGGGTCGTCTCCGCAGACGGATCCGACGACGGGTTGTTGATCATCCCCAGTCGGACGTTGTTGCTGGTTTTCTTATGGAGCAGGCAAGTGAGCAGACAAACCCTTAATTAACGTCACAGTGCTATGTCCAATTCTTCTTCTGGATGTCTTCTTCCAATGAATCAGTGATTTCTTTCTGACTAAAATCATTCTCAAAATATTTCGCAGCACATCATCGTTTTATAATCAGACTGTGTTTATCGCACTTCTCACCATGTGTCTGATGGCGTCGTAAAGCAGCTGGCGTCCTGAGGGCTTATCAAAGTCTCCGACTACCCAGAAAGTCACAGGGCGGATGTATCCATCATCTGGGAAGCACAAAACATACATCAAATGATTTAAGCCAGTTTAAAATCAATCAAGATCTTTTAGGAAGGATTGAATGTGGTGCCTTATTTCCTGGCATCGCTGGCAAAGATGCATCTGTAGCATAATCTCACTCTGAGATTCTACAAACATCTAGAAGCAGCTCATCTTCTGACACAAATGAAATAGTTTAAACACATAGTTGCATCTCTTCTCAAACTCCCAGTTCCCTTCAAAAAATTGATTTTCAAGTTTTACTGTTGACCTACGAAGCAGAAAACAGAGAGGCTGCTGGGTGCGCCATCAGGATCCCATGGATCTACTGACTGTTTTTGGCTGCAGGAAGGTCTGGGTTGGTCCCCGGAGATGATCGTGTCTTTGGTGTTGAAGCTTCTGAACTGTGGGACAGGCTGTCCCACACATCAGGCAGGCTTCAGCTGTCGATGTTTTTAAGCCTCATCTAAAGCCATGCCTTTACTTCCTGGCTTTAGTACAGAATGAAAATTGAACGTTTTTCTATTGTTTCTTTCTGTTTCTATTGGCTTTCTCCTAAAAGAGCCCCCATACACAGTACTGATCTCTTTTTTAAAACTTCTTATTAAAAAATAGCTCAGGAATACTGTTTTTTAAGTTTCCAGAAATGACCAAACCAACCTACAAAAGTACAAACCGAAAAGTCTCATTTCCATTTATTTTGCAGGGATTTTTAGGAAAACCCAAAAGTAAATTCACATAAAAATGGAGCTCCTCTCTATATATATATATTTTTTGTGTGTGTGTGAAATTATGCTACTGCATTAAAGGAATAATTAATTTTAAGGATCTTTACTAGAACTATCTTCATTTTTTTCCTTTCAACGTTAATGGGTGCAGCTTACATTCATGGGGGCTCATAGTCTGAAAATTACAGTAAAAACATATTTTTAACAACTAGCCTCATATACCATTTAAGATCCTTAAATTGTCTTAATTAATGCTTTCTGCTCCTTTTTGTGACATGAGGCGTCTTGTCTATACAGATCAACTTATAACATCAAAGATACCTCAGTTTATTCTATGTATTAGTAACTAATCTATAGCAATAAGAACCAGACAGGAGAAGACTTATAAATTATATTTTTGCTAGAAATTAACTCTGGACTTTATAAATTCACATGCAGCTACTGCATAAACTGTCATGCATTTTCCCTGAGTGTTGGACGTAAATGTTAGAGCGCTGTGTATAAACACATTTTAATACTCAGGCATAATTTTCACATGCATCATTAGTCACCACTGTCCTCCAAGAGATGCAGATGGAGGAGTAACGCTGAAAGAATGCCAGCAATGTGGTTGACAGAAAAAAAGAGCAATTGAGCTAGGAGAGGGAATAATGTGGAGAACAAGGGGGATTTTACCATGGCTGTTGGTGGAGGCCATCCCTGATGCAGGGAAAATGTTAAACAACACAGAAATACGGAGTGGAGGAGGACAAGACAGCAGAACAAACAAGAGTTTAGGCTTCAAGATGGCTCAGTTTTCTTCAGTAGTACAACAGATATTAAGTGTTAGTTTGTTGCTTTTTTCCTCTTACCTTTCTTAGTCATGTAGTTCATGCTGTTGGCTACAGCCGTGCTCTTCTCCTTTGAGTCCAAAGTGGAGAAACGAGCATAATCGTCAATAAAGTAGTTGTCTGCAAAAAGTGGGGGAAAAAACAGACAGAAAGTCAAAGATAAAAATTGAAGACTTTACAAGAACACAAAAAGCAAACAACAACCTATTTTACAGAGAGCAGACTAAGGATCGTAGATGCTGTAAATTTCCAAAATGAAAAAGAGCTTGAAGAAAACCATGTAAAAGCAATAGAGAGCAATAGTGCACATCTTGACATAGCACAAGATCACGAGCATTACAACCGGGTCCTTGGTGCAATGTCTCAATTGTACTTGTAGAGAAATCTTGTAGAAGTGGTGAATATGTTCAGTATGTATTCCAACTCCAAATCGACGACATCTTGAAGTAGCAAATGCTACAGTATTTGATGCTTATAGATGTGATGCTGGATTGTTTTTTACTTAAAGCAAATCTTTGCACCCTACTGAAATGCAATCCTACTATCGAATGACAGAGGTGAAAATGTACATTTAGTCTGTAAATGTGAAATAACAGTATGCCACATGTGTTTACTTCAAGGTCCTATTAAATTTGGTCTATTTTCCCAAAAGTCTTTATTTCCAGAATAACATGTTTTACCAGGGTAAAATTAATTTAAAATGTTTTTGGAATATTGTAGCTTAAGAGTGGAGATTTAAACAATTTGAAAAAAAAAACCAACCTGAATTTTGCAAGGTTTAATTATAAATTTTAGCTAACAACAGTCCAAGGACAGCTCTGCACAAGGATGTGAACTTAACATTCACACATTTCATTGATGTTAATAGTGTTGCAACACAGGTTACATAAATTGCAACATCACTGTGCTCCTATTTTTCTTTTCATAATGCTGTTTGCAGCAGACTTGCAGCAGCTCAGGTCATTTTTAGAAACCAAACACTGTTTTGTTCAAGTTGTTTACCCCGTAATTAAATTTCCACCACTGGGTATAACAATGCTGCATTTTGTTGTCGACTCACTCGTATTGGACAGGTCCAGGTAGGTTCTGCTGGTTGACAACACTCTGGCGTTAATGCGAGGAACAACGTTCGGCTGGTTCATGATGAAGTCGACGACGTCGTGATCTGTGGCCAGCTCACCCTGCAGGAGAGTTTACAAATTGGAGTTAGGATGTGAAAGCTATGAGTTAGTGAGGACATTCTTCACTGTTGCTGCAGAGCTGACAGTGATGCATCGTCTTCTATTCTGCAGACTTTCCAGGCTTAAAGCCACAGCAACAAAACTAACAAACGACTTCTCTGGTGCGTTTATTTAAGTTTTTTTCTTCTGGAAGTTTAGATTCAGAAGAAAATTATGACTAACATCCTGTTGATCAGAACAACTGCTAAATTCAGCTCAGTGCATGTCTGCGCCTGAGAATCCCCTTTTAAATAAACACTTGGCTCAGGGGAATGATGGGATAATTTTAAAAGAGGAAATATGACAGATGGTGCTTACACATGCTGCATGCCAAACACACAATTTATCTTATGACTAAATCTCCAAAAGAAGCAAAACTTTGGATTTATAAACAACCTAAAACCATCGAAAGACTTTCTGACCTTTTTCGTTTCTTTTTAAATAGATTCATTTGATATCAGTTTCAAGAGAGAAAAAAAAGTCTAACATCAAAACACTCACTGTACTGGAATTAAAGATTGGTATCGAGCTCCTTTCTGATGAGATTATGGCTGTTTTATAAACTCATAATAAAAGAAGTAAAAAATTAGAAAATTCAGCGCCTTTCAAAAATTAAGAGCTTTATCTTCTTTCCCATTTTGTCACATTTTCTTAGTCCCATTGTTACAACAACATCATCATGTATTTTGGAGAGATCGTATCCAATATACCAACACAAAGTGCTAATAACTTGTGAACAAGGAAAATTACTTTAAAAACTTCAAATAGTTTTCCACAGTAAAATCTAAAATGTTTGGTTTGTATCTGTAAATACATCCATACTGGCTACATAACAACATTATGTAAATGTCCTGCACTCACCAAGTAGACTGCTCTCTGGTAAAAAGATGTGGTTTCCAGGATTTTTTGCATTGTGGTGGTTTCCAGTTCATCAGGGTCCAGTTGCTCACGCTGGTAAGGGATACCGTTGTACATCACCACGGGCAACGGGCCCACTCCTGTTTGCTCGTAGTACGCCTTCCCTTTCTGAAGGAAAAAATTCAGTTTGCACCTCATTAGTGATCTAAAAGCAGAAGTTAAATTTGGTGTCAAAAGACAGCGTCCGTATTTAGTGAAGCCAAATTCTGTTGCATTTACCTTCCTGTTGTTGTCGTAGCTCGAATCGGCTCCCAGGACGCTGCTGACCTCCACGTAGGGAAATCTCTTCTCCAGCACTTTAACGACGTCTCCAACACTTAGCTTTCCTCCAATCGTCACGCGGTTAAACATCTACAGACGGCGGGAAGAGCAACGGGATGAGCAGAAGGGAAGAGGAACAGGACAAGGTGGTGGTGACATGGCAACAGGCTCGTCTCTGCAGGCTTTACTTACCGAGACGACGGCTTCGAATGCGCTGTGACTGTTCACCTCGTCGGTGATGTAGTTGTAGGCTCGGACCAGGGCTACGCCTGCGTCCTGCATGCCGTCTACGTCGTCTTCGTCAGACACCACGAATACGAGTCCGATTCTACGTCATAAAATTAAACGCCAAACATTTAACATTGAAGGCATGTCGTACATGAATTATCATCTTTTGAAACAATTAAGAAACTATTTAACCTGGTTAAACTAGATTAAATGAGGTTCACAGTCTACAATTTTCTTTCTGGCACAAAAAACCAACCTGAGTGGGATGTTGTTGGCATAAAACATCTCTGCCACGCTCAGCAGTTCAGCAGCGTTCTCCTGGGTCGGATCCACAATGATCACCTGCAAAACAAGCAAATCGTTTCTTTTCACCCTGGTTCAGCTATAAGCACACTCAATTACCCAACAGCGATCTTACCAGATTGTGGAAGTTCTTGCGGATTTGCCTGATGACTCCGGGGAAGGTTGGTCTGAGCAGCTCCTGGACATTATAGGGCCATGAGCTGTACCTGTGGTCCGTCTCCAGGTTGTTAATCCACTGAAACGGGAGAAGCAATTAGTTGAGGAAGAAAAAAAATTAGCAAAAAGTTGCCAATAAATAAATCAAAACCAGTGCCAAACAAATTTGGGGTGTGAAAATTTTCTGGAAAGAGGGAAATTTCTCAATCTTACGCAGATGGCAGGGTTACGAATATCGACGGCGTAATCAGAGTCGGACGGCTGAACGTTGAGTTTCAGGATGTCGTGGATGTAGGGCGTCTCGATGAGAAGGGAGCGCAGACCCTCCATAACCCTCGCTTCACTGCGGAGCACGTCCAGCACACTGAAGGCGACAATTAGAGGTCAGATCAAGGTCATGTGAACAAGACGTACGCCTGCCTCGGCTACTACAAAGCTGCTTTCAATTCTAAAATGAAAGAGTGACTGACATTTGCATGGCTGCTTATTGTCACGTCTTCAGACAAAATAAAAAACAACATACAGAGATATAATTTGATTATCAATAAAACTTGATTTAATACTGACAGACCGACAAAAAACAATACGTACCAATAAAATGGAAGGAAAATGAGGCACTCTTTTTATATAAATAAAAAGTGAAGTGTACAAAATGTATCTAACGGTTATTACTCTTACACCCCAAAATAAAATCCAAAGGAAGGACAGAAAGAAGAAAAAGAAACGGAGCCGTTTAGCCGCGAAAAACGAACAAACATCTCTGACTCCAGATCAAAATCAGCTTAATTTGCCAGGTTTGTGGAAAATCAAGTGAAACAAGGAATCCACTTAGTTTTCAGCGAAGACATTTTGAGTATAAAGAATAAAAACGGTAAATAAAAATAAACGTTTTTGTAAATATTTGTATATGCAGTGTTTAGAAAAGAGGTTGAATTATGGGAATATTCATGGCATCGATCTGGGGACTCATTAAGAATAACTGCCAGGGGAAAGAAGCTATCTCTGTGGAGGATGTTTTATTTGTTTATTTTTTTGAGAAGAGCGCTCTGCAGCGCCGACCTGGAAGTAAAAGCTTGTGTCCAGAATTTGTGTTGTGTCTGCAGAAATATCAGATGGAGTGAAGGTCAGCCCTGATGATCCTCTCTGCAGCCTTCAGAGTCAAAGTCAGACCTGTGCAAAGCTGATGGAGACACCATCAGCCAGGTATGGCTGAATACAAATATACTCCACACTTTTAAGATCGTCATCTGTCAATAAAAGGATTTCTACCAATAATTTTCCTTCTAGTTTAAACTTGATTTACTTTGTGTTGGTCAATCACATAAAATCTTTTATGAATCTGAATATTATCAGTTCATTAAAATATATTATATTAACTAAAATTTTCTTCTCTGCTGACTGAAGTTAGTGCAGTAAACACTTGTTATCCGAGCTGGTGTTACAGCCAGACGTCTCAGTGCGTGTTTATACCTGAAGATGTCTTGTGTGTCCAGATCTATATGCAGCCCGTTGATGAACAGGGCTGAGTCTCCAGGCTGCAATCCCAGTGTTCCTTTGAAAAACTACAGAGAGAAATGTCAAAAGTGACTAAATGGCCTGGTTACATCAAACCCCGAAACTCCTCGTCTCACACCAGCCGAGCCGCTTGCATCATGTAACGTCAAAAACCTCCCTTTGCACAGTCAATTATACTGTAAACTAGATGCAGCGGCCATTCTGGAGCAGTAACGAGGCAGGCTGACGGCTCCAAACGAGCTCTGACAGCTCTGCTCAGTGAGTTTGGAGCAATCCGAGCCCACGCTAAACAAATCTAATTATTAGGGGGGAGAAAAGGTGTGTGACTGGCTGCGTGGCTAGGAGGAGCTGTGAGTTGTTTGTGTGTCTGAGGAGGAAAAGGGAGAGCTCCAAGTCATTCTGGTGCAGTCAAATCTCATTACAGAAACACAAAGACATCAGATTAATCACACTTCAGACACTGCAATTACAACAAGACATGATTAACACAAATATTGCTCATCTCGGTTAAACTGTGTGTGTCTGTGTGTGTGTGTGACAGAAAGAAGTGTCTGGAAGCAAGTGCTGGTGTCCAAAGCGCTCCAATCAATAATCATTTCTTGCCGCAGGACGCGCTGCGCCTGCTGAATGAATCACCGATTCAGTAATTAGGACGTCTGTCTGCAAAACCCCCGCCGCCGACCCAAACTCCTGTCTTCTGCGCGCCGCGATAATGTGAGAAGAGCGCCGGGAGTCGGGAGGCGTGAGGAGGCAGAGAGAGGGAGTGAAAAAGCATCGACAGGAAGAAAAAGGGGGATGATTACGTTTTCCGTTATTAGCAGGACAAAGCCAAACACATTGTCTAAAACTGAAAGGTTTTTGAAGTCAGATGCTGTTCGCAATTTATCACACAACAAAAGGCGACGAGAACAAACAGCCACAGGAGGAGCAGCTCTCGTTTCGAGAGATTTTCCTGCAGGCCGGAGCCGGGAGGACTGAGAATCTCTCTGCTCAAGGGTGCAAGATGTGAGTTTAAAAACAAAAAATAAATAAATAAATCAAAAGGAGCTAAGAATCTGTTATTTTAATATGCTGTGCTTCAAAAGTAAAGCACGAGACTTTACCCAGTGTAAATATTCAAAAGTCAACTTAAGTTTAACTGAAATGGAGCAGAACTTCTGGATTTTTGATGTTTCAACTAAGCCACATTTCTTTTTCCCAGAGAAATAACCGCAGGAAAGTTTTTAGAACTAACTAAAACTAGCTTCAGTGCCTTGCAAAAGTATTCATGACCTTTGACCCCGTGTTTTATATGTTTGAATTCAATTTGTATTCAGTAATTACAGAATAAGCTTTTGCTGCATGTTTTTTTAGACAATGTCTTGATCAAATTTCAAAAGATTTCAAGTTTATTCTTTGTGCAGTACCTCATATTCAGTCAAAAATGGCTACCGAGTGGCACAACTGATAAGGTCCAGATCCACAGATGGATTTCAGCCCAGACTTTGACTGGACCACTGACGGTCATATCGGGGATATGATAGGCAACGATCATATTCTCCAACTCCAACATCTCTCATCCCAGATTTAAAGCAGCAAAAGCAAATAAGATGGACCAGCAGTATTTGTTTCATGCTACATTTGATATTTCTGTAAAAGAAAAAAGTCAGGGGGTCTGAATACGTTTGCAGAGCACCTCCTACTAGTTCACAGAACACAGACAGATCAGTAGCACAAGAGGAAGAGGAAGACATTAAAATGCTGAAATGTTCTGAAGCAATTAGATGTTGGTTTAAATTAATGTAGGGTTGAAGTATTATTTAAAAAGCCTCCAGTCTAAGAAAATGAAGCCAGATATACCTCCATCCTTTGTGGAATAAAACAAAAACCTGCAGCAACATTTTCCTTTAATTGGATTGCTTTATAAAAGCTCTCATCAAAGTAAAAATGAGCACTGCAGGCAGGTTTTTTCCTCACAACCAGGATCCCCTGAGCACCAAATGTGTGCAAATTGGAGGCGAAAAATAGCTCCTAACAAAGTTTTTATTCACAGACACAAAAAAGGGTTCAGAAGACACTTGCTGCTTTTTAACAGCCAATTTAGCAAGCAACAGCTTCAATAAAGACATTGTAAGTCTTTCAGATTTTAGATAAGTCTTTCTTTGTACCCATCTCAAGTTAATATCTAATTTTGCTTTGGAGTGAAAAAAACCTTTAGCTCAATATTCATTCAAGTTTAAAGAACTTGAATGCATCAAAACTAGGTACAACTCATCATTTTACATAAGCTATCAAACTTATTATAGATGTAATGAATTTTTCTAAAATAGTGATCACTGAAGTTCCTTTAAGAAACATATGAAAGCGCCAGACAGATGATCAGATCCTTTAAACCTGTTCCTGAAACTCCAGGAAGAGACATTTGTTTGAGGCACAAAATGGGACGGGAAACAAGAATCTTGCAGGTTTTGTTTCTCAAAACTGAACAAATCAACAAACAGGATGTGCGTTGGTGTCCTACTTTGAGTTTAGATATATTTTAATAAAGGTTAGAGACATACGGTTTGATAGATTCAAAACTACTACAATCAAAGAACTTGTGGCACTTTTTTATCTTCTGTTTGTTAAAGTTCTTTGCAAGAAAACGATTTGAATTGGCCAAATCCGAAAGAACATTTTAAAGCTGGTGTCAGCCAGGAATAGCCTGATCTCCACTCTAATTTTATTTTAATACTTCTGAATGTAATGAATTAATGACAAATAAATATGACAAATAAATAAATATTTTCCCCAAATTCTTTAAATGCATCAAAACTAGCTACTTAAACCACTTACTACTTATATAAAACATAAATCATGTACATTGTGAGTTTTAATGAGGTACATAAAAATAAAAAAGGTCCAAGGTTGGAAACATATTTTGAAGCATTAATAGATAAAATCTGATAATCCCTTCATTTCTTGTTCAATTAAAAACAGTCCCAATCTAAAGTCCATTTATCATTCTTTTACGGTATAATTCATGGCAAAAAAAAAAAAACTTTTTATAATTAAAAGAAAGAAAGGTCAGATCAAAATGGGAACTGATAGGTTGAAGAACATAAGAAGTCTGATGTATCTAGAAAAGAGAATAAAAAAACAAACTTTTACCTTTTGGTTCTCCTCAATCTCTTTGCGGATTTCAGACTTGACCACAGTTTTTGTGATGGACCTGGAAGGACAAAAAACCAAACAAACAATGAATAAAACCCAGAACTTGTCAGTATGTATACAAACTCAGCTTGTGCATGTGTTAATTTCTGCTGTACCTGGCTTTGGTGGGAAAGTTCTGACTGAGGTCTTTCATAACGTTGAGGGCATCAACAGCAGGAGCTGCAAGAATGCGAGCTGCTGTCTGGAAACTCAGATCTGAAGAAGAAGACGTGGAAGGGGAGGAGGGCAGAGAGGGCAAACAACGGGGAAAGAGATGAGTGAATGAAAATGAAAAGCAAACATGAAACACAGGAGAATATGATGTAGGACAAGCTGAAAGTTTCAGCTCTTGCAAAAGAAAATAAAAAAACTATAATAAGTTGTGCTGAAACAGCGTTTTTGTTTGTTTTAAATAAGCAGGGATCAGCAGTGTTTATTTGCTGCTTTCTTTCTATTCCGTCCTTTTCCCTCACATGAGAGGAAAACTGAAGCTTGTGCAAACTTCAATTCCTTGAGAGCAAAGAAAAATTAAATATCACAACAAATTTAAAAATCACTGAAAATGTTATTTATCTCAGTAACGCATCTGAAAAATGAAGCTCATCTATATAATAGAAGCTCATCTATATAATAGATTCATTACATTCAACTTGTTACAAGTTGAATCTTTATCTAAAAGAAAATACAAAATTAAACTTCAATGGCTTCTAATCTAAAAGCCTATGGAGTATAAAATCATCAACAATCATCCTGAGATATTTATATCTGTGTGTTATGAGTCACTGAGATGCACCAGTGTTTCTTGAGTTTGAAGAAGTTTGAAGAAGTCCATTTTCTCTAAGAAATATTCCACAATGAAGCCTGAAGCTGTGCAAATGTTTGAAGTTCAACATTAAGTCAAATTTTGCTAAGCAGATATGTTTAGAAAGTACAGCTTATACTACAAATATACAAACAATCCTATAGACAATAAACTTAATAAATAATTGTAAAAATTTACTAAATATAACAGAAAAGCTAAACAAAACATGAATCTTAATTGGGAAAATACTGTTTCCCAAATATATTAAGGACCTCATTAAACTGCTGTTGACATGGGATATGCTTAGAAAGTACTGGTCGGGCAACAGAAAGCAAATTCCTGGGACTCAGGGTGCAGAAAATATATGCGCATTAAAAGCAAGGCTTTCCAAGGAAAGAAAGGATGCGGCTAGCTTTATTTCAATGCAGTGAGCCTCTTTGTAATGGTGTTGTAGGCTGTGATTATTAGCCCCTGGAGGTCTTCCGCTCTTTGTAAACAGGCTGAGTTAATGAGCCCCAGTGGGTTAGAAGATAAAGACAGGCGCCCTCGTGTCAGTCTGACAGTCGAGCTCGGCCGGCTCACATCTTTTATTCGACACAATCAAAGCAGCGCCGCACTCGCTTCCTGACCACGCCTGATGATAGATGGCTTTCAATGCGTGCAAGGCATCTGTAAATATTCAAACCTTTACAGTTGGAATATGCGTGTGGTGAGAGAAGTGATAAAAACTGAAAAACACTGTGTGTGTGTAACAATAAATTATGCAATCAGAACCTGCAATAAAAAAAAAAAGAAATGCAGCAACATCCTCAGTTATATTAAACACATAACAGCTCAGATGCAGAAAGAGGGAACTGAAGGATCAAACACCTGCACTAATTAAGGTTTGGCTGCTGGTTTGAGTCACTGATGGAGTGAAGCAACAAGAGTGTGTTTGTTTATGTTCGTATTTAATCATGATCAAAGCATCAGTTAAAAAATTAACTCAAGCCATTACCATTGAGGGAGCAGGGAGAAGCAAATCACCGTCTATTCTCAGAGCTCTTATTGTGTCAAATTGAAACTAAGAACAAAAGAACATTAAAAGAGTATTTAAGTGCATAAAGTTTGTGTTTGTTACTTGCTATGTCATAAGATTTTGTGGTAACACTTTATTTAACTTTATGTAAATGTGACAAAACACCTGTTATGAAGATGAAGAAGTTTTCATGAATGTTTTATGACTGTAGTCATGAAATGTCTTTCGGTAAAAATTGAACACTAGAAATGCAAAATTTGGCAATTGTAATGGATTTTTAATGCAAGTTTTAATGCAACTTTGCTTTAAAGGTGTCATTATTTACAGAAAATGCAAAGTTGACACTTTTAATGCACTTTTAATGTAGCTCTACATTAAAAGTGCATTAAATAAATTTATGTAAATAAATCCCCTGTAAATAAATTTATAAATGACGCCAAAAAAAAACAAAAAAAAAAGGAAACTAAACAGACGAAAACAAAGTACTCATCTCAACGTCTGATTTTACATTAAAAGTGCCATTATTTACCAAATGACACTTCGTGACAACAATTGTAAAATATTCATAAAAACTCCTTCTTCATGATATATGTCATGTTTATATGTCAGTCTTATGCACACCCCATCAAATAAAGTGCTACTGATTTTTATTATTCTTTATTTTTGGCTGGTAGTTTCCTTTTCAATGTATTTATTTATTCTAATTGATCCCTTAAATATTATGTTGATGACCACAATTGCAAAACATGAACATTTTGCTCACTAGTATGTTGTCCTTTCTTACTGCTATAATCTTCAGTCACAAGTCTGCATCCAGGTATGGCTAAAACAGGAACTTTGTAAATATACTCAAACTAAGTGGAAAAACACTTTGAAACAAAGTGTCAAATGTACATGAATTTGAGACGCTACAGCTGAGCACATTTTCATATTTCGCTCCTTCAGTATCAGTGAAGAATCAGTGCTGAGATAAATATAAAGGCAGCCGGGAGCTAAATAAGAGAAAATAGCTGCTGCTCCCGATGAAGACAAAACAGAAAGTAACAGAAGTTGCTCTGTTGGAAACATCCTCCCAGTGTCAACATCAGATGATGGAGTCATCCAGTTGTCAAAGGGGTCAGTTGCTTCCCCTGTCAACATGTCAAGTGTCCGTGGGCCACGAACCGACCCGGATGCCTTCACTGGTGTGTTTTTTACAGAACAAAAAACTGCACACACTAGGAATTGCTGTGTGAATAGGGCTTCCACAATTGGATCAGTGTTGTATAAACACAGAAAGTGGTTCACGGTTATTAAGTACAGATGGTTTATCCAATCAGATGCCAAGTGTGCTTTCATGTTTACAACCGGTTTCCAAGGACACCTTAAAATCATCTAGTTAACTCCCTGATGCCGAGATTAAACTAAAAGAAAACCAGCTGTGATCTAAAGTTGGCTAAATATCTCAGACAAATGTTGTTTTTAGGAATTAAAATGTTTCCTTTTATAACTGTGCAATCATTAATGGCTTAATAATGAAGTAGTAACATCTTCTATTAAATGTATAAACTTGTTAAGCACCCTTAGAAAAAGAATAATAAATCAGCCCACCCAACAGATTGCCGGGATTTGAGCAAACGAGGAAAAGCAGGATCTGAAGCCAGAAGTTGTTTTTTAATATTCATGCTGACATGTTTTGTCAAAATAAAAAAAAACTAAAAAAATGTTGTTTGTGATTTTTTTTCTTCTTCTTTTTCTCCTTCTTCTCTTTTTAACAAAAGCAGAATGCTCTTTAGAACACAATTTTCCTGTCTCCCTGCAATCATATGCACAATTTGGAGGGGTGTGCGCTTCTAGTCGTATTTTCTGTGGAGCAGGAAGCACAGCAAATATTAATCTCGAGGCAGAAAAAATATGCAGATTTCTCTTTTCTCTGTCTGAGAGCTTAAATTATTTGATTTAATTGCATGTTGAAGCCCTTATTTCTAAAGTAAAGCAGTTGTCACACATCTTGGGTTAGCTACTAGAGCTGCTACCAGGCCGGTTTACTCAAATACGATTCAATAGCTACAATGAATTAATGAAAGACATCTATATTCTACTAGATTATAATGCGGTGGTGCAGTCTTAATACAAACTAAGAACATTTTAAGGTCATATGGTTTACAATATTACTTTTTTCAAAGTAAAGATATTTACAGTTTAAATGACCTTTACTTACTTGTACGACTTATGGCTTAACGGTGAGTAGAGTAGCTTACTGGTCTTAGTTGTGAGTACATACCCTCAGCGTAACATTTGCCAGTCAGTCAATATGGCTGCTTACACCCACCTCTGATATTTGTTTTAGCCAACTGGATATTTATTCATAATATGACAAATGTTTCCTGTGTTTTCGCTTACATAGCCATTCGTTCAGGAGGAAACAGCAGAGGAATAAAAAGGATGAGTTAAAGAAAGAGGACACCCACCTTGCATTTGCCAGACCTTTAGCGGTGCCATTTCATTGGTGCTTTCTACTAAGTGCTTCCTCAACTCCTTCAGTTGTTCCTTAAGCTCTGGATAGAGAGTCCTGTCAAGGGAGAGAGAGAGAGACACAGTCTAAGAAAATGCAGCTACAAAGTAGAACTGAACTTCTAATTAAGAGGAAGAGTGCTTGGAACCACAGATTGATTTAGTTATTTGCAGGTTAGCTGAGCAGAGATATGGTCTGCGCTTCAAGGGAATTAAGTTTGGAGAATAAAAAGAGCAAGGAGGGGAAAAAAAAAAAAAAGACCTTGGCTGGAGTTAATGCCGTTGGAACCAGACCAAGCTTGTGAAAATTTATCGCAGCTCAACACAGAGACACTCACTTCAGTTTGCCAAAAAGGAATCCCTGGACCTCATCCACCGGATCGTTCTCGCCGATGACTGTAGCGTTCACCTCCGCCCCTGAAAGCAAAATCAATTAACTAGATATTCATGTCAGGACTCCTCAGTGATTACACCAGCAGCATGAGTCTGTTTATTGTCTGTTTATGAATTCCTTAGAGAGTACAAACCTTGAACTTGTGTGTCATCCTTTGCCTTGTACTCCTGGTTTTTAATAGCCAGCTCTACTCCGTACCCCGACAGATACACTTTGTTTTCATTAGGTTTCTGGAAAGAAAGAAGATGTTAGTGTAAAGTAAGAAAAGTTATTTCAGTTAGTTATTGTCTCTGTACTGTGTCACTGCACTTTTTCCTGTCAAAACTCTGTACTTGTGTTAGTACAAATACTGCTTACTAAGGAAAATATTTGTCAAAACCTCAAAGCTTAAAATATGGACAGCTAGATGAGGCAACAACAGAAAGATCGGCAGGTGAATAGACAGCTATACACAGGGATGAATGTCCAGCAGAATATGGAATATAAAGTAGTGCTGTCAATCACTTAAAAACCTTTGTCAGATTTATCGCACCCTAGCGATTAATCACTGTAGTCCTCTCACTTGTTGAACATTTCATCTAATTTCCTTTACAAAGACAAACACTTTGTGACTTCAGGGACAGATAACAAGCCGTTACCAAACACATTGACTGTCCAATAACTGGTACTGAATTGGCCTTTTTTAGTTAAGCATAAAGACTCGATGCATATCAAACAGATGGTGGGAATAATTTAGCATAATCAGGGGGAGAAATAAATGGATCGGCTGTATTTGCATGTGAGAAAGGAGGAGATCCAAGTTCAACTTGGCATGAAAAACTGGAGAAACACTTCATCCCAGGTGTAAATGAGAAGCCTGGTTAAACTCGACAAGATTTTTTTTTGTCAAATAAGGAAAACTGAGAGAACAAGTGCACTACAATCATTATTTTACCATATGTTCACAAATGTGGACATCTGGTATAGTCTGCTGTGGCAGTGGGGATAAATAGTAAATGGCCTGCTTTATGTGGTGATTGTCTAGTTGTATTACCCACTCAGCGCCCATTTTTAACACTACAAGTTGCATACACCGTTTCACATATTCATATCGCACTTTTCAGTCAAAACGGAGCGTTGATGTCATCAAACCAACATCTGCCTGGCAGTAGCAGTATTAGTAGTACTCGAATAGTTTCAATGCAATAAGAAAAGATGCAATAATGACCATCATTGCACCATGAAGCTTATTTAACTAAGTAGCTTTTTAATCCATCAATAGATAAATCAATTTATTAGATTTGAAACAAGTCAGTGAAAATTTCTGAAATAAAGATGGAGCTAAAAAAATAAATGTAGCGCTTAAACTGTATTGTCTTTATTTTCTTAACTATGATTAAAACAGCAGTTTTAATTCACTGTAAAAAAATTAATTAAATTGATTTGTCAAACATTTTCTAAGAGTTTGGTTTTCTAAGAGTTCAGCAAAAATAAACTATATAGAGAATGATCAGATTCTAAACTACTGAACACAAATCCCTTTAAACACTCTCAGAGTACAGAGAGATTAAGTTTGTGACCAACAGAAGTTTAATTGTGACGAGTAACGGACCAGAACTGAATATAGTACAGGTGACAACAGGACAATTTTAAAAAAAGAGCAAAAATTGTTTGTGGGAGAACTTGAGTAAGTGGATAAACCAATTTTAATTGAGCTACCATAATAGTAAAAGTAGAGTAACAATGCTTGTGTGTGTGTGTGTGTGTGTGTGTGTGTGCGTGCGTGCGTGTGTGTGTGTGAACACCTACAGCCACATAGTGACGAAGCACGTAAGCTGCCGACCCTTCGTTGACTTTGGATGTTAGGATTTGGTGGAACTTCTGGAAATCTGGCGTCCCGAGCTCAGCATAGAGGATGATCACAGGCGTGTCTGGATTTGATCCCGGGTATCTATGGTCACCTTTGAAAAGGTATGGCTTCGGTCTGCAACGGGGATAATAACGTCACCTGACGAGTGAGTATGTTACCGACTCAAAGTCTGCTGTGTGTACTTCTACATGTGAAGATCTGTCATTACCTTTCCATTGCAGTTTTCAACAGCGTTGCCAAGCTTTCTGGAGAACAGGATTTCTCTCCATGTACGCTGATGAAAGTTGAGCAGCCAGAGGGAGGATGCTCAATGGACGCAATCTAACAAGAAAAAAAACAATGACAAATACTGATTTTTCTAATAGGCAAGCACATACTGTTCAGCCAACAGCAGCTCCTCCTGTTACCTGCTGGAAGGAGTGAACTGTGGCAGAGTACGCTCTCAGAGAGAGGGCGAACTTCAGCATGTTCAGCTGGACGGAGCTCAGCAGAGCACTGGCTTTCTTCACAATCAGCTCATAGTAAGCTTGGTCTGTGTCTGTGGGGAAAAAACAAAAACAAAACATACAACAATTTAACAGGTGATCAGAGTAAAGTTTGACATTTCTATTCGTTTATCATCCAGTGCCTCATTTAACAAACCTGACACCAGGGGATTTTATTAAAAATGTAATGGAAATGAAAAACTAATAATGAAGTAACCTTAAAAACATTCTTTACAGTGAAACATGGCATTGGGAATGCCGTTTGTCAGTAAGGATAAAGAAGATGTTTAAGAGGAACGGCTGATGAGAGCATGAGTACAAAACAAACCACTGGTTCAGGCCAAACTATTCCAAGTGAGTCTGTTTCCTTAAAGTTGTGTCTTTCATCATGTTAATCACACCAACGTAAGGATTTTTTCGCTCTTTCAAAAACAAAACCATGCATCAGTTTCCTTCCCTATCACATGCTCTACTACATTGTGATGATCTATCAAATAAAACCCCAAGAAATTATTTGACACATGTGGTTGAGTGTGACAAAATCTGGAATAGTTCAGAAAATATCAATGCACACATAAGGCATAATAGAAAGGAATTCAAATAATTGACTTCTCACTTTAAAATTAAACCACATCACCACTTCTCTTTTGTCGCAGTAGCTGTGACCCAGCTGCTGCTAACAGAGATGGGTTCTGGGTCCTTTAAGTACTCTGACAAAGCACTGACAATACAATGCAATCACTGCCGAGACGCAGCAACGGCATCAGAAATTCAGAAGCTCCCAAAACAGAAACTTAAAGTGAATCTGCAGCAGTTTCACACTACCATCATGCTCTCCCTCGATGTTTTGATTGGCCTCAACAAAGTCCCAGAACTTGTCCTGGCTCTCCTCCGCCAGAAACTCACTGAAAAAGAAGAAGAAGCAAAAACAATAAGTGACATTTTTATGATGAAGCCATAAACAGTGGTGAGAAAAAAAGTGTAATTGATTATTTTTCTACATGTGAAACAGCAGCGCTTCATGTCATCAAACAAATATATGTACATAGTAGACATCGATAATGCAAATAAAATAAATGACTAAATAAAAACTGCAGTGGTTAAATTAAATTTTAATCTCATCAGCATTTTCCCAAACATCTTGGGGATCATCAAGATGTCTTCTGGGAAAACTGAGATGAGGATGAATCTTTTTCGTGTTGAAACTACGCCATGCAGGCCACCTTTGTCTCTTTCTTGTGGTGGAGTCCTGACTGCAAACCTTAACTGAGGCAAGTGAGGTCTGAAGTTCTTCGGATGTTGTTCTAAGGTCTTTTCTGACCTTCTGGATGAGTCTTCGCTTCACTCTTGGGAGTCATTTTTGTTGGTCGGCCACTCCTGAGAAGATTCCCCACTGGTGCATGTTTTTGCTAATTGTTCCTAAATTTCCATGTTGATCCGACTGGATCAGGTTGGACCGAAACTGTTTTCTTGGTTGAGATAAGGTGTGACAGAAAGAAGCTCTGAGTATGTCTAAATATACTGAACACAGCTTGCTAAAGATGTGACACAGCGGGACATGTGGTTTTGGATTTTTCCATAATGAACGCCCATATTTAAACTCTGAATTTTGTGTGTCTAATCTTTTTCTAATACTTAAATTTGTAGAGCTGAAATATTCGCGCTTGACAAACACAAACGAGAAAAACACTTTCTCTCATCACTGTATACAACTTAATCATGTATGTTGCTATTTTTTTAAGCATGCAGATTAAACTCAGGGGCAACAGAGGACAGATGCTGACTGATCTATGTACAATACAGTAAGAAATCTGCTACAGCGATGTGGTGTGGTACCTGGCTTCCAACAGCAGCGGAGTATCAGCCCATTTGGTTGCAAGGGTGGTGGTGATGGCCTTCGAGTCTGCCGCACTGAAAACAAGAGACAGCAGAGACAGGAGCAGGACACACAGGAGCCACATCCTCCTGCCTGTACCTGAGGAGAGACAATAAACAGAAGTGGAGACAAACGATCAGATCTTTATTTAAAATGGATTTAAAAACTGACATTCAACTACAATTTGAACTGTTGGATCAGTGAGTAGATGAATGTTTGGAGGACTTATGCTCCAACTTCACAGGCACGATGGTTTCAGCATCAGGCTGCAGGGACATTTGCTGCCTTATTCTACTACAACAACAGCTAAGGATCTCAAATTCCTTCAACTTTATCTAAAATCAATAGCTATTCAGTTAAAAGGGACTTTGAATCCAAACCAACTTTACCCACTATAAAAATTTACGTGTGCTGCTAAAAGTAGTAATTGCCGTATCAGTGAGTGCAATATGGAAAATGCAAAGGAGTGCTTCAATGTAATATTTAGTAGGATACTGTATTTTATGCATATCAATAATACATTTGGAGGGTTGGATGGGGTTACCCGTAATACAACACCATATGCATATCACTAATGGTTGACATACTAAGGCTGAGCTTCTATTATCACCTAAATCTAAAAATGTCAAAAGGTCTCACTGGCACAGGACGTAAAATATCTTGGATTATTCTTTACTTTATGCCACTAAGGTGTTATTTAGCAAAAATCTTTTTTAATATTGTGGAACCTCACTGAGTAATGTCAATGTCAATGTCAAATTTATTTATATAGCACTTTAAAACAGGTATAAAACTGCACCAAAGTGCTGCACAGGAACGACAGTAACACAAATATGACTGGACTCACGGAACAGTAAAGTGGTCTACTTTGCTGCAAGAAGTGACAGCAAGTGATAAAGTTCAATCAGTTTCAAGTGAATCTTTCAACAGGTCACAAGAAACCAATAATCTAAGCTCCACTAGATTTTACCAGTCTTCTGTAGTCTTATAACAATGAGATACGACACTTCTCTGCTCTATTGTACCACAGGTTCCTAAACTCAAGCATGAGTTTTCATTTTCCCACAATACAGACGTGCAAAAGAATCAGAGTAAAGGAGGTCGAATACAAACACACTAAGCTTTTATCACTACTTTTACAATGTGTTCGCAGATGTTCATGTATGTTTTGTAAATTAGAATAACTCAATGAACTTATCTGTTGTAGAGACCAGTCTGAGTCTGAGCTGATTTCTAATGAGGCAAATATTTATGAAGTATCATGCACAAGAATTTATGCTAAACATAAAAATAATAATAATAATAATGGAAATACTTGAGTCTGTCTATTAATAATTTACTTTGAGCAGCACAGTCGAAACCAGGAGCAAGCAGAGGACATTAAACCAAACATTCACTTAAACACAATTTATAAAACAGAAGGTAAGGCAGCTACTTAGAAGGCAGGAACATAAGTGAATTGGATCCAGTTAATAACTGGCTTACTACTCATTTTGACAGATATCAGAATAAGACGCCGTGCACCTGCAGGGATATATCGTAAGTAAATAAAAAGCTTCCTGAACTCCGTCCAATAAGCACCTTCAGCGTGGCTACTCTGTCCAATAAGCTTCAAGATCCTCAAGCGCCCAAAAGATGTTACGGTACAACTAATAGCAAGCCACTTGTTAAAATTAGACAACACTGGACGTTTTAGAGACATGTATAGCAACAACTAGAGTGGAAGGAAATCTCAATGAGTTAACGCAGCCTGGTTGTAAACGGACAGACAACAATATAAACTCCTCCTACATAAAAGGAAAACCATATTTTTCTGTTTCTGTGAAAACACGCTTGGTCACCTTCTCTATGAGAGCACAAAACAAGCCTTAAATAGAGTCACATTTAGCTTCAGAGCGCTTAAAACCTTTGATTATCCTCACCGAAGCCGGCTCTGTAGCTTCCTGTTTCCATGATGCGCAGAGGGTGGGTCCTCACATCCGGATTAGGTGACTAAAACATTGCCTGTTCAAAATGAATAGAAGCGGCGATAAGCAAGCGTATTAAGTTTTATTTTTAAAAATTATCTTTCTTAAAATATATCAGTAATATTCACTAACAAAAATCAAACACCTGTTTAAAAAGAGGGAAAAACAAAATTTATATTAATATTTATATTTGTGTTTTATTAACATGAATGAATGGGATTCAAGATATCTAGACTATATTTTAAAAGTCAAGTATGAAAAAGTAAACATGTTTTTTTGTTATGTTTTAAAGACATTTTGTTTTGTATTTTTGTGTTGCATTTTTATACTTATTGTGGTACAGGAGTTGATTGATGAAGCTTCAATCAATACTATCAATGTTTTTTTCTTAAAATGAGATTTTTCTTTTTAAATCCAGTTATTTGGTCGTGGTTAGTGGAATAAAACCTCGTTAAGAACCTCATTATAAAGACAAATTTAACTCTCACTCTTTTAATATTTGACCTTTAAATACTAAAAGTTAAACAACTGGCATTTGAAAGAAAAAGAAAGTCCCCCAATCTAACACTATACTGATTTAGATAAATTGTTTCTTAGTCTGTATGTTCTGAAGCACAAACAGCAGAAATTAGCTGTCTCATGGTTCACTTTTCTTTCAATAAGCTGATGCCTTTCTGCTCTCTGACTACACTCTAAAAACTGCTGGGTCGAAAACAATTCAATTGATTTTTCTCACCCAGGCTTTCTTGGGCTAAATACGCACGGATCCTTCCAACCCTGGATTGACTGGATGCAACGTTGATGGGGTACAAGCATGATGACTTAGGTTTTCAACCTAAATAAAGAGTGAAAGTGACTCATGTTTAACTAAAAGTGAAATATGTGCAGTTGCACTGCTGCATTGCTGCAAGAAGGTCCTGGGTTTGAATCCTGGCCTGAAGTCTTTCTGCACGGAGTTTGCATGTTCTCCCTGTGCACTCCTTGGTTCTCTCACAGCATCCAAAGGGGAAAGCCTGATTAACAAAGTGCTGGGCCAGGATTACGTTCCATGAGAGAAAAAAAGAGGATACCCAGGGTTAAAGATAGCAATAGCTTTGTAGGTGGCTTAAAACAGAAAATTAATCCAGATCATTTTACAAAAAAACACCTGTGATCTCCTTGTTCATCCTTTCCTAAAGTCTGCTCAACAGACAGTCCCTGCAGACAGTCCCTCTGGGTGAGATTGGTGACACACGACAAGCCTCCTGCCAACCTGTTGCATTGTTTTGATGAAAATAAAAAAGAAGAAGGAAGATATGAAGACTGTGTCCTAGGGTGCAAAGACATGGCTATTGCTTTTTCATTTACTTGCTCAGTAGCCTAAATTAAATTGGACAGTTGATCCTCCAGAGGGAGCAATTCCAAGGTTTGACTTAAAATTATATAAAAAAAACACCAACATCAATTATCCTGCTGCCCATGACCTTCATTTTGGCATGAACATGTGGACAGCCCACATATAGATGCTTGGACACACACAGTAAACTAACTTGAAAGTCAGCTGCGTCCCTGCAGGGACGGGCCAAATCATCACAGTAAGTCCTCACAAGTATAACTAAACGGAGCCTGCAGCACCCTCTCACACACACACTGCCCATGGCGCCTGTTCATTTGTCAGGAAGGTGACATCTTCAGATGAATTATGGGAGATGGTTGTCATCTTCTCCGGGGTCACGTACGAAATGGCGAGCCTGGGCTGTGGGCTCCCTCTGCTCGCGCTATCACACGTCAGCCATTTTAGAGGTTGAAAGCCTCGACGGGGGACCAAAGCGACCTCAATTAAACCTCCATTAATATTAATACATTTTGTCGTTTCACGTGAGCTGCTGCTAATTAAATGTGTCCCTGACTGTATAATGGGGGTCAGCCGGGGTCTCTAACATGAAGCTAATTCACCACATTACAGCAGCCGAACTCAGAGCTGCACTGCGCTCCAGTCTTAAATACAGCTGCAGAAGAGGCCGATTGCTGTTTTGAGCGCGTAAATAATCACACACTTTTTCAATTAGACCAGGCCTTCCCAATGTTTGGGTCGGTGCCAAACTGTGGGAATTGGAAATTGCCTAGTTTATTAAAACAGGTTCCTTGTTTTCGCTATTTAATTCTAGCATAAATACATTCGAAAGCCTTAGAGGTTTGTTCTAAAACAGAGAAAACTAGCATCATAAAAACGAGGGAACACAGCAGACTGGTCATTAAAGGAAAAGCACTACAAGACAGAAAAGTTACTAAACATCACATTACGGACATCATCCCTGGAGTAAAACATAATGGTGGCAGCATTGTGTCCTTTCAGTAAGATGACCTAAAGCATGTTCATGTGTTAGAATGGCCCAGTCAAAGCCCAGACTTATACCTAATTGAAAGCTAAACTTATAACATGTTCACAGATGCCTTCAATTCAATTAGAGGTTGAGCTATTTTTGCAAAGAATAGACAAAAATGTCCTTGTTCAGGAAACAATGTATTTCCTCTTCACAACTATGCAGCACTTTCAGGTAATCTATCACATAGGATCCTAATAAAATTGACTAAGAATTGCAGCTATAACACAAAAGTGTGAAATCTACATGGTTATGGATACTTTGTACATCTCATTTAACAAGATTTTTGTGTTTAGTCCTCAGCTGCAGTTTATAGGTGAACTACATTTCCAAAACATCATCATATATTTTTGTCTGTGCTTCTGCAGATCTGCTTTTCATGAGCTCCCAGCTTATATTGACACACACTCGAATGTAACAAGCATATGTTTTAGACCTTAATGTGATTGAGGACTTCTGTAGATCGCTGCAAAGTGCTGCCTGAGAGGTTTTATTCTGTAGTTCAACTATATTGTCACCCGAGATTATTTGCTATTGTCCTGACAGATAAGCCAGACCCAAAGTGGAAGACAAGATAAAAGCACCAGATGTTCAGTTTAATCATATTTATTGCATTGCAGATGTAAAACCCTGCACCCTCACAGTGCTCTGATCTCTCTTGCTGCCCAATGCATTTACAAAATAACAAAACCGTGAGCTGAATCTCTGCAGATTACTTGTGTATGGAAATTTATCCACATTGTACATATGACTGTGAAAGTCTAAGGCTAAGCCATGACATCTGTTGGAAATGACTCAACCAGAAACAAAAAAGGGCTTAAGTCTCTATCATGATTGGCGGTGACGCCAATGAGGGCAATCCTCCGGCACAACAATAGCCCATCTCTGATGCATGCATGGAAGGCACTTAATGTGACCTTATCAGCAGAACTCCATGGTGGAAATAAGCAATAATAACAGCGGGGTTCCTTTGTTTGGATGAAACGAGTATGGGAACCACACAGAGGAGCTTCAACCAGTTTAACCCCCTGATGATGGACAGCAGCCAAAGCCTGTATAATCACCCCTAGCTGGATTCCAGCCCCCGTCTTCTCCCTTTCCCCGCAGGAACAAGTTAGCGCTTTCTCACAAATGCTAGCAGGAGGGCACATGTCCATCCTTCTGCGGTAGCCGAGCCACTATTGTTTGTTTAGCCCAGCTGCACTTGAAATGACAATGATCCAGCGCTATGGGGAGGATTAAACCGTCACATTCAGTAAGGGAAGCTGCACCACACTTTCCTTTCACTCTGTTTTATATACAAGAGCAAAAAAGATATCGTTTTATAAAGACCCTCTTGGATTCCAAATCACCTCACATTCCTGATCTTCTCTCCACTTCATCTTATTGTCACTGTCCATGTAAATCATCATCCCACCCTGGCTCCAGGGGTCAGAGTTGAAGCTGCTGGTGTTTGATGAGGTGAAGTGAGGAAATGGGGAGGGAGATGCCTGCACCTTGCTCCATCGCATCCAAGGACAGGGGATTAAATTCGCCCCCCAGCGTGTTGTTGTCAATCCTTTACCTGTCACAGCAGAGGAAGGAGGAATATTTGTGAGTGTGTGAGAGTGTTCAGTAGTCAAGGTGCGTCTGTAGGCCGAATTAGGCCGTAGATCACTTTTGACAGGACTCCGGCCGTCGTTAGAAACGGGAACGAGCTGCTTTCCGGGGTCATGGTCCTGTGGCCGGTTTGCAGAAATGCTCCGGCAGCAACAGATTGGGCCAAGAGCGGAAATACGTAGAAACTCGAGGGGTGAAACTCCTGAACGGGCTTTCACAACAATCACAGAGTGGTGAAAATATTTTAATAGAGACGTCTTTATCTTTTCTGTGTTTCATATGTGACTTCCATCAAATATTCAAAGGAGATCAGAAAACATCATTCATTACAAAATAATTCTAACCTCATGATCTTTTTTGATGCGTTTTCATAGTAAAATTATAAACTGAATTTTTTTTTTTTTTTGTACTGGTATTGACCGATTCAGTTTAAGTGGAAGTAAAACAAGTGAGTTTTAATTTCCTTACTAGTTAAAATCTCTACAAATTTGGTAAATTAGCTTGCTTTTACTCTGATACCCTCGAGACAAATTAATCACCTGAAATTAGAAGGAATTTGACACAAATAATATCCCATTAGCGTTTCCCTAAACTTACAGGCGAAGGAAGAAGAGCATTAGTTCTAAAGCTACTCAGCTAAATGTAACTAGTTACTACCCACCTCTGCACCAAACGCCACATACTAGACTTCAAAATGGATGTTCACAGTAGAAAAGGGTAATATGAACTTCTAGCTGTAATCACAATACTTATATTGGTAAGTTTTTATTACACCTGCAAATGTATCACTAACTACTGTGAAAAGCTCATAAAAAAAAACAAACGCCGGTCTTTTTGAAAGCAGCAGTTTAAACAATTTTTATAGTAAAACTCTTAGTTCAAACTATAACTTGTCATATGTAAGCTGTAAAAATCATTGTGATAAGATGACTAATATTTACCACAATAAACAATTTAACTGCCGATGTTTCGTTTACAGAAGCTCTCCCTCCCATCCGAATGAACGTAAGCTATTTTGAAAAGTCAGTGGATGCATCAAAAAAATATAAATTAGCGTCACAAAACACAAATATTTTTGGCAATATAATTGGCAGTTTATATCTATATTTGTAGATATATATATATATATATATATATAAAAACACACAACACAGGTCTGTAAAAATGAAATATTTTAATTGGTGGTTGGATGATTCAGTTTTGCAATCATAAGAAAACAAACCCAGAAAGATGCATACATAAGGGAGTCTGGGAGACTGCTCACCAATTAAAAAAAATAAAACAAGAACAAATCCCTTTCACACTTTCTTTAACACATCTGTAAGAGTAGGATGATGATTTGCTTTATTGTCACCAAGGAAACAACGTTAAGACATGAGATAAACAAAACAAAATAATATATTTGAGCATAAATTTTCTCTGGAATGATGTCAGTAAAAAGCTTTTCTTTTCTTTTACACACGCACACACTCAGACAGACAGTATTTGATTCAAGCCCCAATCACTCAAAACTGGAACGCTTAAAACAAAAATAAACCTCCATACATGGAGAATGGGTTTTTGCCTTTTTGCTCTACACTAACAAACGTTGGACTGGAGCCCAAACACAGCCCGGCTCTGATTTAGAAGTTATGGGCAAAATGCCTGAAGCTGCGATGTTTTCAAGTCTCCAGTTCCAAAAAAAAAAGACAAAAGACAAAGACGGGGAAGCTGATATGAAAAGTGAGGGTCTCTCTCCCATATCCGTTTCTCTCTCCCTATTGCATTACTTTAAAACTGTGCAAAAATGTTCAAACTGGCGATTGATGAGTCCTAATACTTTGCATGATCCCTCTGGTTCTTCTCTCCTTCCCATGATGAATCATTCCTGATTTAAAACCAAGCTGATCACACCACCGAGGCAGGATTCGGTGGTGATTAGCCGAGATTAACGGTCCGGGTTTTAAAAGAAAACCCGTTGCATCATGTTTTCCAAAGACGAAGGAAGCAGGATGCCTGCATCCATCATCTAAATGCAGTTTGAATTACAACGCGCAAAAAGCCTGTCTTCTTTCCAGCACACTTTAACATTCCCCTCGGTTTTCCCTAATATTATTCATTTTAATACCTTTTGGAGTCAACATATAACAGAGTATTTGTTGCTTTACGTGAAACAAATGTACACAGACAGGCAGTGGACATGTCGAGGTCATTTATTTCACTATAAACACACAACTTTGTTTTTCACGAGCAGTTCTCTAAGCGTTTCTCATTAGCAAAACATGGAAAACCCCCCACAAGATTAACCTTTGCAACAGCAGCTCGCAAAGGTTTTCACACTCTTTAAACTTTTCTGTTTGTCATATTACAAACACAAACTTCAACCTTTATGTGGGGAACTTCATGTGCGAGGCCAATTCAAAGTAATGCACAATTATTAAGTGAGAGGAAAAGGACACTTTCTGCAGATAGTCTGTTGACAGGACAACTACGACCACTTGTGTGCTCCACAAATCTGGCCAGAAGAAAACCGTTGATGAAAGAAAGTGACAAAAGATCCGGTCTGCCAGACTCGGCTCAAATGTATGCAATGTTGGCCCGGTCAAAAAAAGACCAAAGTTGAAACAGTTTGTGGAGGAAAGAAGAATATGCAAATATGTATTGATCTGATGAGACTCAAGGTGAAAGAATTGGAAAAGTAAGGGGTTCAACAAGTCCAAGAACACAAAGTCTTACCAAGTATTTTTAATCTGATTTCTCATGCAAATATCTCAGTATGTTTGAAATAAGATAAAACTAACTTACAAGTAACTTTTCTGCAGGATATAAAAGCTCGTTAAGACAATAATTCCCTAATATTTATGAAAAACTATTAGTTCCACAGGTAGATTATTTCACTTAAGGAAAAAATGTCTTGGTATAAATAAAAATAATCCACTAGGGGAAATAGTACTTTTTCTTCAATGTCAAGAAATTATTGACTAATTTAATTTTCTGACTTAAAACAACCTTCTGTCATTTGTAAGTTTGTTTTTCTCAAGCATACCAAGATATTTGCTTTTGCAGTCAATGCATGTCTCTCTTCTGTCTTCACATAATTATGCTCCACTTTGTGTTGCTCCATCACATAAAGTTCCCCTCAAAATTAACTTAAAAGGTTTTAGTTCAAGAGTTGTAATTACTTTTGCAAGGCACAGCAGCCTTCACCTTCATGCCTTAGTCTATGATTCACTTAAAATTGGTTTCCTACACAAACCTTGTAGGGGGTGGGGGATAACATAAGATCTGTCTCCAAATATTTTTGAAGATATCTCAAGCATCTCCTTCCCGCAGAGATTAATAAAACGCACGCTTGGGGCTACACCAGCTTGCCGGCCGCGTGTCAACATCCAGCCCAAAAGTCCGTGGAAACTCAGCCTCACGCAAACATGTATTTTGTACAGGTAAACAAGCCGGGCCCTGTGGGACCGCGGAAGTACCTTTGAAGATATGACCAAGCACCTGCAAAACGGTTTAAAAATATGAGAATTTTCTTTCATGTACTTTATGTTCACAGTAAGGTCTGCACATGGAGTGGTGCAGGACTGACAGAAATGGGGATATGCTGAGGTTCGAAAGCTGGATTGAAAGTGCAGATTGGTCATTTTACTGTACAATTAGAAATAGTGTAAAGCTACAGTTGTGGGTTCCGACCGAAACATGGAAAGGAGACAAGAAAAGGACTCTCATGAGCGTGATCTGTGAACAAAAAAAAAAAAAAAAAAAAAAACGGCAAGGTAATTGGTCATGAAACGAGTTGTTCACAAACATCCTCTGTCGGTCATTCTCACTATTTACAAAGGCAAACACCAGACTGGCTTCCTGTACACACTATATTTACACACACACACACACACACACACACACACACACACTCTTTCACAAACTCACAAGTAGTCAAAGAAATTACTGTAGTACAATGCAGACTTAATATCTGGCAATAATTATGTTGACTATGATCCAAGTACACAGAGGCACTGCTACCTCACCCTGTCCGTTCTTTGCCCCGACGAGCTGCAGGTCACCACAGCAACGTTTGCCCTTTAGGAGGGTGGGACAGAGGCTTGCATGAGATGGCTGCTTTTACCACGCAGTCAAGACATAAAAAAGAGAAAAGACAGGAGAAGAAGAAGAGGAAGAGAAGCTAAAATGCCACCCACTACATTAAGAGCTCTCATTGCCATGGTGACCGGTAGTTCTCCAGCTCCCATTTCAAGCATTTTTGTCCGAGTTAAGGCTTCCAAAGCGCTTGCCGCTCGCGCTGCACGGTTCCTGGCAGCAACCCGCAGCACATTCACTCGCTGCCCCCTCCACCCCGCCCCGCTGCCACTGGTTTCTTCGCACCTATGTGAGATCCGGTTCTGTAATTGGCTGTCTTTCTTTGCAGGACTGAGATGCACCAAGAGAAAGAAGAAGAAAAAAAACCGGAGAGAAAAGGCAAAAATAATGAACTTGTTAAAGTGACAGGAGCTTTGGGAACCTTTATCAGACACACTGGCGACACCCTTCCTAAAAGAAGCAGAGGCTTCAGTAATGGCTATGGTCCATTATTCATCAATCCAATCCTCTTTTTCGACATACAAAACAATTAAAAAATAAAAAAAAGAAAAGGAATTTTCTTTAGGCAGCAAAGTTGGTCTCAGTGTTATTACAATTTTGCTTTTAAACAAAGCTTAAGGACCATGACAAAAATAAAAGCATTTTTAAAATAAGAAGAAGACTGTTGCAGGACACATGTATGCTTCATGGATGAAATGGGTGCTTTATGCAAGCGCAGAGTTTTTAGTACACAACTTTATGCAGGTTTGTTTTTTTTTCTGCTCCCTGATTCGGTCTGTTATCGCTGTCGTACTTTTCATCCTTTGTTCGGAGCTTTTCCAGTTTCTCTTGATACAGGAGCGTCCGCAAAGGATTGCATGAATCTTACAGACCTGATTTTTTTCCTTTCCTCGTGCTCCGCTCCCCGTCGCCGGGCCGCAGAGGGGGCGAGAGACGCGGGAGGAGAAAGCTGGGACGTTGTCAGCAACTTCTAAAAATGTTCTGCTCTCCCTCCGCTCAGGAAGTAACGATGATAGCAGTGACAAAGACATGAGGAGATGTGGCAGGGAGGCGAAAGGGCAAGCAGGCGCCGATAACTGGGCGAACCTCAATAATGAGAGTTGATGCAAGCTATCAGCCTCCGGTTGCTATAGCAACCCTCCCAAGACTGCGAGTCTCGCGGCCCAGATCTGCGGTACCCTGCGCTTGGTTGTGGTCTTTGAAGGAGGCGGAGCTTTCCGCAGATGCACCTCTCTCTCTCTCTCTCTCAGTGTGTGTATGTGTGTGTGTGCTTGACTTTCACATTATGTATGCATGTCTGTCGTTTGTTCTCGTTCTGTTGCTACCAGCGTTTGATGATCTGGTTCATGTAGTCCTCAGTGGGAAGCCTGGCGCCTGCCTCCTCCGTTCTGCCCCCTTCCTCTCCGTCCTCCCGCTCCTCCCTCTCGCCCCTCTCCCTGTCCCCCTCCTCCAGTGTTGATTGTGAGCTAGCTTGGCCGCGGGAGGGCCACAGGCCGACGCTCAGGCCAAGGCCCTGGTGACTCTGTTGCATGTGGTTCTTGATGCGCTGCTGCCATCGCTCCTGCTGCCGGGTGTACTGGTAGCGCTGCTGGAACAGGTCCTTGGCGTAGTCGTAGAGCTCCATATCCAGCTCGTTCAGCTCCTCTATGCGCTGCACCTGTACAGGAGAGACAAGGTCGCCATTTAATGCCAGATCACAGACAGACACGACCTTAAAAGGTGGAAGAGAAAATCCAGTAAAAAAGATGAAACCAGGGTTTGTACACTTTTTCCCCCCAAAGTAACATCCAACCACTTTTCAAGCATTTCCAAGGTAAGTTTTCAAGTTTTTCCTGCATGACATTTGAGATAAAAACAACACAAATGAACTGAAGACAGTTTAAATTCACTAGTTTATTATATTGTTCATTAGTGCTCATGTCTTGTGATATTCTTCTACATTTTACATTAGAAACAATGTAAATTAAAATCTAATAAAATGACATGTTTTGAAATGTGTCTCTTACACATTCCAATACACTTGTGTAAATAACTTCTCAAAATGACTAAAAAAATTCTAAAAGCTGGAGTATAAAAACTTTAAAAAGGAGGGACTGATACGCAGAAATGTTAAGTCATATTATTCAAAGCAAATCTTAAGGTCATATATTCTTTATTGAGAGTAAAGTCCAAGGCAACTCTTATGTTTCTTATCCCATGTCCATGGGGCATGTCCAAGTTCTTTGAGTGGCAAATCCAAGTCAATCATCAAGTATTTGAGGGACATGTCTAAACAGAATCGAAAATCTTTAGTTCCAACTCCAAATGAAGGATTTGGCCTATTAAAGACACTTCCAAGTTGAGTCTTTGAGGGGCAAAATACAAGTCCTGGAAGGGTAGGCTCAAGCTAAGACTCAAGTTTTTATTCCTAAGTCTGAAGTGTTCAAGAGGCAAGTTCATGTGAAGTCTTTGAGCCTTGGACTGGCAAGTCCCAAGACTTTGAGGGACAAGACCAAGCCAAGTCTGTTTTTCACCCCAAGGCCAGGTCAGGCTATTAGCATTTAAAGGGCAAAGTGAGTTGTGAATCATTGAGGCAAATGTTCAAGTCAAGGTTCAGGTAATTTTGCTCCATTTCTCTTGTGTTTAAGAGACATGGTCTCAAGTCTTATAATGCTAAGTTTAAGTAACGTATCAAGTCTGAGGGGAAAATTCAAGTCGTGTCTCCAGTCCCAACTATGACTTCAGCAATTAGTAATAAGTTCAAATCAACTTCCTCCAATGTAAGGGACAACTCCAGGCCGACAATCAAGTTTATTGTCTTAATTTTTTGAGCTAAAGATGAAACTCAAAAAGATTGTACTGGCAATGTAAAAACAACAGAAACACGATCATGTTAGCTTGTGTGATGCAGCTGGCTTTACTGGAATGTGCCCTTAGTCGTGCGTAAATCAAATACAGAGGGAGAAATGTGTTTAATTAAGAGAATCCCTTTGAAATCTCTGATCAGCTGCGAGATGTGATTTACAAGTAATATGTGTGAAAACAGAGGGAGGCGACATGTTGCGTCCATGTTTGGAAATTAGAGCTTTGGATTGCAGCATGAAGGACGCTGATGCGAACCCAGATGGCTTTAAGGAGTCAAAGTCTTCATCCGTCAGTGAGAGGGAATCAAATCATCTAGAAACAAGGTTCAATCAGCCAAGCCTCGCATGGACCTTGAACTCATGATGGGTAGGCGTGCACTTTTCACGGATTCACAAAAGAGTTTAGGAGAAATATATATATTTTTTAAATCTGCAGCCTAGTTATTTGAGAGCTGTCTGTTTCACACAATGGTCTCTGAAATTAGATCTCATAGAAATGCTAATTTTAAAAACAATTTTTAACAAAAATATACCACATGCAGACTCCCCACATGCCCTGCTCCAAACCACTACAATGAGATTTTTCTCCCTTTTATTCAAACCATTGGTCCACCTTTTGAGTCTGGCAGCTGTGCATATTTTATTCTCTCTGAGCAGCCCGGTTTGATGTTTAAATCACCACGCTGCAGTGTACCGGAGGTAGGTTTTTTTTCTCTCTCTCTGTTTTTTTGCAGAGAAATTGAGCTTAAGAACTCCCACACTGGGCCAATCAAAGTGTGAAGAACTGGTTTGAAGCTGATGTCTTTTAAACAGTTAAAGTTATCTCAGTCCGTTTCACAGCGATTCGCGACCAGTGTTTACCTTCTGTTTTCCCATTCAGACTTTTCTGCATTCATCTCCTCTTCAAGGATACGTTTTCATGTTTTTCTGAGAATATTTACTTTCTTCTTTAAGAGCAACTCAAATGAAAGGAATACCTGATTTAATCTCAAAACGCAGACTGTGCTGTTATAATCGCAGTAATTAAATGAGGTAAATAAATGCGACTTCCTTTGGAAATAAAGTGTGGCAGAAAGCAGTTCAAAGAGAGTATTTACGCCGGTTGGTATTGATAATGTATTGGTGGCACTGACCGTAGCGTTGTCCAGGTCCACCCCTGCAGCCCGGGTGCTGTTGTACTGCATGAAAGGCCTGATGAAGCGCAACCTGAAGGTTCGTTCAAAGAGGAACTGCGTTTTCCTCTGGTACTCTGTGAGTCCGAAGAAGGCCATGTCTCGCAGGTTCTTCTTGGCCGACTCTAGCAGCAGCTGGGCCCTCTTCTTCTCTGGAACCGTGGACATGTTGTAGCAGCCGACCAGGCTCAAGTCGGCCAACATGCGGACCTGTGGGCCGGGAAGCAGATTCATGGATGAACTTTCACCCTGAAAACAGTTACTTAGCACCATAACTTCTATCACATCTGACCAGCTTTCCTCATTGCTGCTGCAAAAAGGCATTCCCAGAGCATGATGCAATGTTAAAGTTTATCACAGCTTCTGGGACAATTTCTTGTCCTGCACAATTTGTTATTGTGAAGAGACAAAATACAAATTATATTTTTTCATATTTAGCATGGTAGCCAAATTGTACGGCAGCCCAAAATGGCCAACAAAATGCAAAAGCTGTACTGTAAGTTATTCCAGAAAGTTTAGCAAAACTACTAATTTTTTACTAATGCCACATTTTTACAAAATGTGGCATTTTGTAAAAATGCTACTCTCACCTACAAGGAACTAATTTATCAGATTTACTGTTTTCCCCACATAGATCGTAGCAAACTAGAAACAAGACTTACGGCTCTCTTTTCTATAAACAGCTGTTCTATAACAAAATGCTGTTCTATAAACAGGCTTTTCAACATGAGCAATGAATCTCTGCATCTCCTCCAGAGACCCAACGAGCCTCTTCTGATTGATACGGTCATTGCTCAGCCTGTTATTTTAGGTGGATGTTTTCTGATGAACAACTTATGTCGTCTTGCTTCTGTTTGTTTACTATTGTTCTCTGAATCATTCTTTGAACATCTGCATTTAGAATTTAAATTACACACATGTTGTTTTATAACAGGTTATTTTTTTGAAGGCAACTAGTTGTATTGGATTTCATTTAGGTGTCAGAGTAATGGGGATCTGAATGAACATACCCCACTTTTCATATTTTTCTTGTAAAATATTTTTAAAAGCAAGTGTGCTTTTTTTCCCAGTTGGCTATTATGTAATATCTTTAGTTCAACTACCCCAGAAAGCGCTCTTCATTTCAAAATCAAGCGCATTTAGTACATATTGCAAAATAGACAAATGAGAAAAAGTCCAGCTGACAACATCATGTACACCTTAGCCTACAGGTTCAATAAGATGCGTCGGGTGTATGGTGCGGATGAAAGTCACAGGAGGCTTAATAACCCCCCCAGGTGCAGATAAAATAAGCTGGGCAACACAATGAGGTGGGAGACAGAAATGGTACAAGGAAAAAAAAAACAGCATGAATTTGCTGCTTCTATGGCTGAAGGGAAAATGTCTGCCAAGGTGTGTGAGAGTGTGTGTTTTATACATTACACAAGCCTTTTTTTTTTTAGGAAAGAGAAGAAAAAAACTCAAACTAAAGATCAAATTTCCTTTTTTAAGAATATTCAACACATAATCTAATTTTCCTGAGAAAAGCTCATTTCCTGTGACATCATCTTGAAGTGAAACCAGCTGCAGGTGCAGGCGAGCAGGTCATAAATCATGCAACAACTCCCACCTCCTGGAGCTCAGCCTGTACCGTGTTTGTTTGAATTGTTTTATTCTTTGCGTCGTTTTATTATACGTGAGCTAATTGCTGCGTACCTGTCTGTTGTTGGCCAGGTTGTACGGACAGTCCATGAACTGCTGCAGCGTGCACCCTGACCAGTCGGAGCCTTCGTAGCAGGAAGGCAGCTCCTCGGGTGTCGGGGTTCGGCCGTCACACATGTGCAGGGAGGTTTTCCACGTGGCTCCCCGCTGCACGTGCCTCCACTCGCTGAGGTAGCGGGACACGGGGTCCCTCAGCAGAGTGATGTAGTAAAACTTCCTGTTTGGTGACAAAAAGGAAGGAAAGATGGAAGGGGGGAAGACACAGGTAAGAATTGATTTTCATAAAACACTGAAAGTGATGTGAAAGACATCCAGCTACACAACTTTTATGAAAAATGTTTAAAGTTTAAACATTGAACTCTAAATGCAGCATTTAGAAAATATTACAAGAAAAAAGTTTGAAAATGTAAAACCTTAAATCCCAGACTTTTCTGAATGTCAGGATTGGATGATTCTGATCATAAAGACAACCAAACTTGACCAGAAAAGTGAAGAGAAGAAGGATTTTACTTAAAAATTGGGAAACTTATAAACAACTCTCACCATCTTCTTCATGAGACTTTTATAAACAAAGTGTCTTGAGTCAGAGGCTTCTTCAAATTCAATGCATTACAGACCTCTACAGAGATCCCTCCTGGCCACAGCCATCACCTTCTACAATAACTCTTTAATTATATGAGTCACAACAACTTTTAACTTCCCTTTGGAATCAATAAAGTCATTCTGAATTTGATCAGTTTCTCAATTTTATTGAATTACGCAGTTTCAACAAATTAAGTTAAAACTACAAAAATCACAGAAACTTCTGCCACAAAAACAGATGTAATTCCACCATTAGCCATGTGGAGGCACTGTTTGCAAGAGTTTACATTGAAAGTTCATTTCCCTCCAATCCAATGAGAGACTGAGGTCCCCATATGTTATGTTTATTTAGCAGAAACTGCTTTCTGATGCAGAAAAAGTGTGTGTCTAGAAGACAGGAAGTGGAAGTGAAAATGAGCAGGAAGTGGAGGAGGAGAAGGAGAAAGAGGACATAGTTGATCGACTCGGTATCCGAGAACCACACCGTGCAGGAAACAGACAGTTGCTGGCATGAGCACACTTCCCTCTGCAGCCTTTGCATCTCCAGGCTGCAAGGCTCGGTGTCTCCAACACCCTTCCTCCTGCTTCACACTGGCGTGGTGTATGTGTGAGAAATAATGGTGCGTGGAAAGGCCTTGATATCTCTCTGGAGGGTGGACACTCCCACTCGAGTGGAGACCTTTCCAGGTCCCAACATGCACGCTAATTACTGCAGTCCAATCAGTCAACGCATCCTCATTAACGACGTAGAACTTTAATGTGCATTAAAGTCATGTTTGAGTATGACTTTTCTGGGCAAAGGACGCAGGCCAGGAAGACGCTGCCCTCCTTCCCTGCACGCAACACGTCAGAGGAATGTTTGCAGAGGAAATTTTTTTGTGCAAACAGGACTCGGATGTAGTATGTTGGCTTATACAAGAAGTCCTCCTCCTCACATAAACAGACAGACTCTACATGACCTTGGACGTCTTCACACTTTGTTGCATTACGACCACAGAATTTAACGTATTCTGGATGCAATAACTACGGAATCGGATTGAAAGTCATTCATGGTTTGTTAAGTTTTACAATTGATAATCATTGCAAGTGTTTACCAGGTTCTACATCTGGTAACTAAAACTGAGTTCATTATGTTTGGAGTATAACTCAAGGTTCATTCAGATTTATCAGAAACACAGTTTCAAGTCCTACAACAGGCTATTAAGGCTTAGACTTTGAGTAGGTCATCCTAAAACATGAATATTCTTTACAATAGTCCCACATTCACAATCATAACATTGTGGATGTGTGATTAGTCTCGCCTGAAAGTGAACTGTTCATGAGGTTCTTTTGGCAACAATTGTCTTCTTACGGTTCTTGCATAAACAGAAGATTCATAGATACACAGGTAATTGTTATTCATATCAACATATCCTCGTTTTGGTCTTCTGCTCATCCCAACCAGCCACACCTTTGTCTGTGTACACCTGCAAGGCTGAATGCCACATTAAGGAGTTTGCAAGGGTGGAGTGCCTTTTATTGTAATCCTAGTTTGCTCCTGTTAATTTTTAGTTTGGAAGGTGAGTTATTATCATTTGGTTTATTTGTTTTAAATAGGTAAGCTTGGTTTATACATTTCAGGATGGATCATCTTCATGTTATGATCTGGCCACCCAAAGACATGTCAGAACCTGAACTCTGCTTACTAAATAGGTGACTTCCAGCAAGCAACTGGTTGCACTGGATTTTGTATGTGGACTGAAACTCCACATGTATGACTTTGTGTTGGTCTCTCCCTGAAAATCCATAGAAAAATGCAATGATGTTTAAGGTTGGAAAGTGACGAAATGTGAAAAAGCAGAAAAGCAGTGACACGCAAAGAGTAGCCGTTTCTCGGTATTGAGAGAAAAGAAAGATTGGGTAGATCCTGGTCTGAGCTTTTCCTGGCAGCTCGAGCGGCAGCAAAATAAACCCCAACCTGATTTGGCATGAGAGAAGGTTTGATCCATGCAAATGAAACAAATGAAGTAGCTGCAGGGGGATCACGGACAATAAAACGACTAAAGCTTCAATCCGGTGGCAGCTGGGAGATCCCGGACAACCAGCCTAGACAGACCCTCAATCCCCGACCATAGATACGAGTTTCCAAACTCCAAATCCCATCAAACTAAACCTAAAATCCCATCCTACTACCCCCTTCCTCTCCATGTCTAATAAAAAAATAAAAATAAAAAAAGGCCAGCCGAACCAGAGCCTGCAGGAGAGCGGGGGAACATTATGGAGATTCCTATGATGACATTATCAGCATTCTTAACACTCCCCAGAGTGCAGTGTGTGTTTGTGTGCCAGTTCATGAGCCTGCTGTGGGTTTCAGAGCAAGAATACGCCTATTAAATCAGTGATGACATTTCCCCCCTCTTGGCTCCCATTCCACAAAAAGAGAAGAAGAAAAAAAATCATGGTGCTGTTTGGGCCTTGCTACACAGACTGGAAGAAAGAAAGAGAGAGAGAGAGGGTAAAAAACAGAAAGGAAGACAGGAAAAAGAAAAAGTACGAAGGAGGCGGCGGAAGAGAATTTCAATTAGTTTTTTTCTAATACTGTGAAAGTAGTGAGGGCCCCGAGCCCAAGTGATTTATCAAAGTTATGGCTCTCACTATAATGAAGGCTCAGGCATATTACCACACAAAATAAATAAATAACATGCACGCAAACCCACTCACACACACACACGCAAGCAAGAGAGCCTCCCCGCAGTGTCTGCTGGGTCAGACAGACTGCATAGCCGGTGTCGTGGAGGCTTTCTCGCCTGGGAAAGATCTAAACGTCTGGCCTTGGACGTAGATCCCTTTGTAATGAGGTTTTAGCCCACAAACATCCACTCGCTCACCAGGAAAGTCTGCTCCCAATCACTCAAACACACACACATTTCCTCCTTGAAAGGCAGCGGAGCGTTACAGCAGATATTTTACCACGACGACAGGTGATCTTGCCTGTCAATTTAACCTCAAAGCTAATACGCAGCGCTCTTTGAGTCTCACTGTACACATTTCGGAACATCAGCGTCTGGCTGAGTACGGGAATTTGCAGTCGGGGCACAGCACCCTGCATCGCCCTCTCCCAGACTATATTTACGTGCCGTACATATTTACGTGCCGTACATTTTTCATTAAGTCTCCCAAGAAAAAACATGAATGAGTAAACTAAATAAACGCAGAGTAGGAGAGCAGCATAAAACCTCACACATCAAATATCAAAAGAGTGCAGTCATTGGCTTATTGATTCAACCCATCAGACTAATTGTGTGAGGGAGCTCAAAAGAAACAAAATCAAATCTTTGTTTAGGTGGTATGAGGCTATTGTCTGGAGTACTGCCAAGCAGAGCAGAGAAGACAACTGTTTTTGCTTTTGTCTCACCTTTTCTATTCTGCCTGTTGATCATTTTTAATGAATTTGGCACCGACAGTGTAAGCGTGTCATGGTGCTATTTGGAGCAAAAGAGAAAGAAAAAACCCCCAAACAAACAAACAAACAAACAAACATGCAGTCGCCTCAATGTCTTTGCTTTTTGCCCTCCTTCTCTCTATGTGTTGTAAAAAAGTGAGAATAAGTGCCTTTTGTGCTTTGCTTCTTACATCATCAGCATTAATAAATGTCAAAAAAAATTTAAATACTATAAAAATTGCTGAAGAAGTTTTGTTGGTGCGTAGGGCTGGGACTTAAATTGTTTCTAGCAATTGTCTGTTTTTGAAGATTTCCTTTTTGAAAAATCTCTTTTTTCCGTGGGTTTCATAGAGCCCAGTCAGCCCAAAGCCATCCATTTTTTTTGACAAGTGTGTTTTACACCAATCTATTTGAGTTCAGGTCAAGTCAAATTAGGGATGATTAAAATAAAATCCAGTTTTTGAAAATAATTTTTCTCTAATGTAATTTATTTTTAAGACAAGAAAAAATGGATTAAAATGAAAAATCAGATTTGATCAAATGAAATCTGAGATTTTATTTTTAAAACATAATAGTAATGATGGAGTTTAAACACCACATGGCATTTTAAAATACTGGTTCTGACCCAATAAACATCAGATTTAGTTTCGACCAGTCACTGGTTGACTTTCTACCTATACAATCCAACTATGAAATAATGGGCCTTTATTTTGAAGGGCAACCAGCTATCACTTTTCATCACTAGCAGTTTGTCATTTTGAATCCACTTCTGCAATAGCCAAACTAAATTAAAGCTTTAAGGAGTAAATAAACTTTATTTTTAAGGTCAATCAGAATACCGTTTTATCACTGGATAAAACGAGGATTTGAATTGTTAACTTAATGTTTATGTTACCCATTAAAAAGTGAGACTTTTTAATTTTGAAAACTGGTTGAGGTTTAGTTTAGTTAGATACTGGAGACAGATCTGGCATGTAATGAAAGTCAAGATTTTATTTTCTCATTATGTGTTTAACCACCAGAAACATGCTCTAAATAGATATTTTATAGAACTATATGCAGCTGTCGAAACTGTTAGATAATTTTTCATACCTGCAATTTGCATTAAATTTCATATGCACCGGGAGCCATATTTCATAAAAATTGTCGCTGTTTGTCAAACTCAGACTTTCCTAAATGAATTCATTGGATGTTCTTGCTTTATTTTTGGCTGG